AATGCGTACTAAGCTGGCATTAAAAATAAGTTTAATGCAGTATACCGTTGAACAAAAATACAGTATTTTAGTGTAGTCCATCTTCATTCAAATGCAGTACATATTTTATTTGTTCGTTGATTTTTCGACAGTGCTAATCTGGGAGAAATTTGCAGAAAATTCGAAGTCACAGTGCTGACTGCATGCATGAGAGAGTTGCACGGAAATGAGACTGAACTGATAATTCCTGAAGCCTCACAGTTTTTCCTGGTTCATATAACAACGTGACTATAAAAAGATTCCCATGAAATGAGTTCAAATTACTGCGAAATGTTGTTGAAGCCGAAGCATCTAACTGCAAATATTTTTTGTTTATTTTTCTTTTGACGGCCACAGCACTTTTAATCTGCAAGTGGGAAATATGTAAAATTCATGAAAGATTTTTCGGTCTGGCGTTTAAAAGAAACATTTGGAGGCACATGTCAAAAACAGTTCCACACAATCTTCACCCCAGAGGGGAAATATATAATGCCTGGTAAGCTTTCACCTGAGACAAAGCATAAAAATGTGCTGAAAAGCTTTTTACACTATACAGTACATTTTGAGTCTTGATCCAACAATAATCAGGGGAACTTAAAAATAATAACGATTTAATTTTTTTTTAGCGAGAACCATTTTTTCCGAAACAGCAGGGCAGAAAAGTAGGATATTACGTCAGTGAAAATTTGTTGAAGGGAATCATAAGATCAGTGTTGAAAATTATGCATGAGTCCCCTTAGGTGAAAATCGGCACCAATCTCGTGACAATGATGCACAATATTTTATTTCATTGTGCACTTTGAAGTAAATTTTTCTGCACTGAGGAATTTTTCTGAATATTTTTTTTATTCATGCATAAGAATCATCAGCATACACAAGATTACAAGCTTGAAACAGATGCAGTGCTTTCAATCACAATGAGGATTTTTCTATTGATGAATCAACTACTGTACTTTCCTGAATTAACATTATGGTGACATTTTTGTTAACTCCATTCTTTATTTACTGCAGTGCACACGCATCCAAAATTAAGAACAACAAATAAAATTCAATCTTTATATGAAGGACGTGGGCTCAGATTACTGTAACATATGCTCATACATTTTGCAGTAATAAATGTGGTTTGTCTGCCATGCTGAAAGCAGGATACAGTTTTGTTTCATTGAAAATGCAGAGATCATTCTAAGCAAACCCGTGGAATGTTTGGATCATTCTTTCAATTATTTTCTATTCCAGTTCAATTATTATCACATAAAAAAATCAATCAGCAAATTCTGCCTTCACACCTTCAGATTTGTTTGAAACACAGAACATCTGTCTATCAGTATACAGTACAAATCAACAGCATGATTTGTATGATGTGGTAGCTAGTATTATTCAAGAGCATAATTGCATTGGGTTTTTCATTTTTCTTATGATTTTTTCATCAGATTAAAACTAGGATTCCAGCTTGCAAACACTCTCGGGAGCAAACACTTGAAATTTCCCAGAAGAACAGATATGTACACTAATTCTCCCTTTCAGCTTACTATCAATCCAACAAGCGTAATGCTGGATTAAGCTGCAGTTGTTAACCAAGACCAATCAGTACATTTTACAGCAAAATGTTGCAACAACAAAGCCTTTGCTGGGACCAATGAAATAGCTTCATGGTAAACAAAATTGTTATAAAGTAACTCGTCTAACATTCTGGCTATTGAGCATTGAACAGGTAAGCTTTCACCTGAGACAAAGCATAAAAATGTGCTGAAAAGCTTTTTACACTATACAGTACATTTTGAGTCTTGATCCAACAATAATCAGGGGAACTTAAAAATAATAACGATTTAATTTTTTTAGCGAGAACCATTTGCTCATTTTTTCCGAAACAGCAGGGCAGAAAAGTAGGATATTACGTCAGTGAAAATTTGTTGAAGGGAATCATAAGATCAGTGTTGAAAATTATACATGAGTCCCCTTAGGTGAAAATCGGCACCAATCTCGTGACAATGATGCACAATATTTTATTTCATTGTGAACTTTGAAGTAAATTTTTCTGCACTGAGGAATTTTTCTGAATATTTTTTTTATTCATGCATAAGAATCATCAGCATACACAAGCTTACAAGCTTGAAACAGATGCAGTGCTTTCAATCACAATGTGGATTTTTCTATTAATGAATCAACTACTGTATATTTCCTGAATTCACATTATGATGACAGTTTTATTAACTCCATTCTTTATTTACTACAGTGCACACGCATCCAAAATTAAGAACAACAAATAAAATTCAATCTTTATATGAAGGACGTAGGCTCAGATTACTGTAACATATGCTCATACATTTTGCAGTAATAAATGTGGTTTGTCTGCCATGCTGAAAGCAGGATACAGTTTTGTTTCATTGACAATGCAGAGATCATTCTAAGCAAACCCGTGGAATGTTTGGATCATTCTTTCAATTATTTTATATTCCAGTTCAATTATTATCACATAAAAAATCAATCAGCAAATTCTGCCTTCACTCCTTCAGATTTGTTTGAAACAAAAAACATCTGTCTATCATTAAACAAATCAACAGCATGATTTGTATGATGCGGTGGCTAGTATTATTCAAGAGCATAATTGCATTAGGTTTTTCATTTTTCTTATGATTTTTTCATCAGATTAAAACTGGGATTCCAGCTTGCAAAGACTCTCGGGAGCAAACACTTGAAATTTCCCAGAAGAACAGATATGTACACTATTTCTCCATTTCAGCTTACTATCAATCCAACAAGCGTAATGCTGGATTAAGCTGCAGTTGTTAACCAAGACGTTAGTCATGTAAAATGTCGTTTTACAACGTTGTTGTTTCGGAAACGACCCTGGTTACTTTATCGAAGTACCATTTGTTTTAACAATATTTCATTGAGCAGATTGTAAGACCGATAACTCGTAACTTGATAAAGAAGAACTTATGTCGTAAGCACTTATTCGTTAAAATGACATTTGTTATAACAAGATAGTATGGCTGTAAAATCTGTTGGATTTTCTTTGCAGTAACCATGATGAAATCAATTTTGGCTGGTATCCATTTCATCCTTTCGTGTCCAGGTGATTATGCTCACGGGGTTCCATGCTAAACACAACTAAAACCCTTTTCCGCCCAGGGAGTGACTGGAGCCTGGCACACCATAACCGCCGCCGTCTGGCTTTGGGACGCTCGTCACAACACCAAAGTGCGCCAGCCGTCTGGCCCCAGTCAATAGGCGAGTGCAGGAGAGACGCTCCGTGATTAAAATTTCATTGTTTCGCCGCCGTAATAACGCGACTCACACGCTACAAGAAAAATACGGTACGCACGACCGTCTGGGTCGAAATCCTGCACAGTACAGTACAGTACTTCGAATACCGTACCACGATTCAGACCCTTCGCCGTATCCTATGTTTCATAATCATAGCACATCAGCTTAGGATGTCTCGGAAAATACTGTACGCTCATTTTGACGCGTTGATCATGATTATTTTTGACGCAGAATCCTGTAGGCAAAGAACGTCAGGATTTTTTTCTCAAGAACCGAATAAAAATAACTGTAATGTGATTCATGTTCTTTTAAGGATGTTTTTTCATGAACGTTTCCCACGCGAAAAAAAAAAAAAACTCGAGAATCCTGCAGAAACGTTCCCTCCGAAGTCCGAACACACTGAAAACCAACCATAATTTATCAAAAATATCATACAGTACACTGTATATTCATTTTCGAGTCGGGAGCTATTAACACAGAAATCAGAAGAAACCCCGGGTTCAGGAAAAATTAAAAAGAAACTCAATTATCCAGCGGTTCTAAGCTGATGATCCCACGATTGTTTTCGTTACTTGAAAATCACAAAACGAATTGAACTTCAGAACGACAAAATTTGCGTCAAAAGTGATTCGACGGACATCAATATACAGTATTTCGATAGTTCAATCAACTTCTTATTAATTTGATGATCAAGGAGGATCCGGTAGACATTCGTCAGGTTCATTGTATGACTGTTGTACCAGCAAAATGTTGGTGTAACTTGGTTCGTTAGATCATGAAAATGTTTTTTCACTCCCTGACCATGTAATACATTTAAACACAGACATTTTATTTTTCATCCCCCCAATTTACAGCAGATTTAATCAAATGCATCACGCACACTTCTGCTTATTTCAGAGGAAAAATAATTGCGATCACTTCAGCTCTTACATTTTATTGGCAGCAATTAACCACAACCGAAGACAGATGGCGCAATATACAGTAATACAATACTATCATTGAATCGATTTACTCATCATCCAGACGACGAACCGAAAAATGAGACGTACCTCAGAATGAGTCGCCATAGACAAAAAAGAAAAGTTCCAAATTAATTGTTCTCCACATCGCTTCCAGCAAGAAGATACGAGCATGAAAAAACGCCGTGATCAATCGAGAAGGTATCTGCGTGAGATCACTAGTCCAATCGCAGACCTGGTCTTCGATCTTCGCGTCTGTCCTGCTCGAACGTTCTCTTACTGATGTAAGAATGCTTCCACCCTCGATTTCATTTTTCCAGGTCCGATATAATTCGTTTCGGAGTTCAGTACAGTACATGTCCGACAGGCGAGCTTCGTTACTGTACTACGGGTACTTGCGATCACGTGAGAGACAATTCCAACCGCCTTCGTGACGCACTCTGAAGCAAACGTCGGTACGAAATACTGTACCTCGAATCCAGGCAAATTGATCACCGTGACTTGACTTCCAAAAACTTAATCGAACTTTCTCAATGGGAATATAGTGCGGTAAAGTGACGATGATCAACAACTTCCCCGCATCGGACTTGCCTCAGCCAAACCTATATCCAGAATACCGGTACTGTAGTCAACTCATCAACAGACAACCTTTTCCATTTCGCAGAACTTGCAGTAAAAAGCAGCTCGAATTCGAAAACTTACCAGAAAACCTACAAGAATTTCAAATGGAACGAACAGATGAAATGAAACTCCGGCTTTTCAGAAGAGCAACTCCTCGTTCCTTTCCACGTTCAGAAAAAATCGTCCGACGCGCGCCCACCAACCCAACAATTGTTCGAAAAGGGACCCAACGGAAGAATCAAAGCCGAAGCGCAAAAAAAAAAATTAGCGAATCACAAGAGCCGTTGAAGCCTATTCCGTTTAACCTGCGAACAGGCACGAGAGTCCTAAAAAACCAACAACGAAGATGACACTTCTCAAGAAGCTCTCAGTTGTAATAAAAAACACGAACAGCGCGAAAAGCTCGAGATGATCAAGCATTGGGTCTTTAAGGCGGTATCACAGTTGGCAACGGGCAATTGGTAGGCGAGCGTCGATTCCGAATTGCGGAACCTCCCAACATTTCCGAACTTCACACGTTCTCTTCCCAAACCACACACACATCACTCAAGAAAAGATTCAGCAGGCTAACTCCTACAGCAGCGCGCCCGAACATCTCAAGAAAAAAAATAAGGAGATTCTCAGCAACAATGAGACAAACGCGCGAAAAGGAATAATATTCCAGACGCACAGTGCGCCACTCAAATTAATACTCGACGTATTTCAGGAGAATAAAGAAAAACACGTGCATTCTATGAAAGAAAACAAAAACTCGCTCATCAATCTTGGATCCGACCAGGAACTCATAAAATTCGAACACATAGGAACGTGAAGGAATTCAACGAAACAAGCGTTTCGGGAGAGATAAATCAATCTTAGTTCATTCGACCGAACAGACCCCACGCAAGCGAAGGGTGGGACGATTAAAATGAATGCGCACCGTGCAAGTTAAAGCCTGCACTCAATTCGAGCATTAGGGAAACTGCTCGTGTACGAAACTGAAGCATGCGTTCAACTTCAATCCAATATCATCTAGAAGAAGTTTCTTCCCAACGCAGCCGAATCGTACTTGATCTCACTTCAGAGGTGAAACGACTCCTCGTTGCAAAATTTGCATCGTACATTCGTGGGAAAATAAGGGTTAAATTAGCATTAAAAATCTTCGTGGGGTGCAGGAGAAAAACGTTTCATCCATATAAGGTTAGGTGGAGATCCGAGAAATTTCGAACGTACCACCCATCAGATGGAATCAACCAGTTTTCAAACATTGGCATTCAACATTTTTTTCAAAAAATCTTCCAGAATGAAATACGGAACAAACTAACGCATCCAACTCGGCAGAGAATTCATCAATTTGGAGGATAGAAGAGTAGAGAATTTATTGTGACTCAAATTTAACCTCGTTCCAAAGTCTTTACTTAACTTATCTCAAGCGTACACATTCGAAGTTATGAATGGGGCTTAGAAAAAGGAAATATTGACCCCGTTTGAAAACTCAACGGCACAATATGCTCACAATATTTGGAGGTCACACGCATATACGTGCTTATGCATAGAATTCACCCTCAAGACGTTCACAAACGCTCCTCGCATCACTCAAACACTGCTCGCTTCCATCTGGAACGCGAGAAGAACCAAGCGTTTCCGTTCCCAAAAATTAATGTCAATTTCGAACAAGAGCAATTCCCCTTGACGCACGAAAGCAACAAAATAATGAACGAGAGAGAAAAAAATCTCTCCTAGGAGCTCGAAGTTCACATGTGAGACGAATCCATTTGCTGCCCAGACGACTGGTCCACGTATTTGACCATCGTTGCTCCCGCGCGCCCTCGGAGTGACGGCGCGGATGAAACAGGGGCGTCGATCGTCAATGCCAACGGCTGATCCTCGTCGTCTCCGCAGAACTCCTCCATGCGCTGCTGCTGAAGGTGGTGATGGTGAACGGGATGGTGATTGTGGTGGTGATGGTAAGCAGGCTCTGGCTGCTTTGTCGAGTGCGTCTGCACCATCGACTCGAACATTTGATCTCCTTCCAGGTGGCGAATCGCTTCTACAATGGTTTCTAAGCTCTTTTGCGACGACGGAAAACTTCTGAAATTAATAGAAAAAATATTTAGGTTAAGAATGAGCTGGGCAATTCCACATTTGAAACATTCGAAAAAACTCATACTTCCCACATCTTCAATAATTACGGCAAAATGAAAACAAAGAGCGACAAAAGTCTGAATTATCGCCAATTTGCTTATCCTGCTGATTATCGAATTTTCCGTTGAGAAGGAACCAAACAGATCTTACGCTTTTCTTCGAAAATTGGATTCAAGTAATGCTTCATCAAAATCAAAATTGCGTAAAAGAATTCTGGACATAGATCACAAGAGTTCTCGACATATGATTACTCAGGAAATGCGGACATGAAGAAAATTTTCCGCAGTGCCTCATACGGTACAGCTCGGTGCACAGTACTCACTTATGATCATTGGAGGTTATGTACATAGAACTGTCCGAAGTCATCGTCTGAGCCACAGCTAGTGAAACGGGCGGTTCCTGAAGACGTAGGGGGGCTAAACGGGCGCAGCTTTCGGATTCCTGGCTCATATCCGACGGCGATGCTTGCGCGACGGATACTTGGGCTCCGCGCAATGCAACCACTGGCATACCGTTGAGAGCCACTGATCCTTTCCCCATTCGGGTGAAAGCCAAGTTCACCGGCGGCAGGCCACCTTTGCCCACAGTCAACCCGGTACCGGGCATGGAAGGAGTGTCTTCGGTGCCCGACGAAGCATCCTGCATTTGGACGCGTACGACAGCGTCACCGTGCAAACGCACTTGGCCCGGATGCAGTTCTTGGTGATGGCTAACGCTGTGATGAGTCTGAACTGGGATGTGGTGTTGCTGTTGTCCATTCCGGTGTGAAACACGGTGGTCTTGATCAACGGTTATCGCTTGCGTCGCCTGTGTCAAATGCCCCAAGCTGCCGTCGTCCATCAACAGAAGAACTTGTTCACCATTCTCTCCCTACGAAATATCAGAAAAATGTGAATAAGACGAGCTCTAATTTAGATCACACACGATGACATCACAGGAGACCCAAGTGATGTACAGAATTTTCAAGTCTACAAAGAAATGACGGAGTTGTTACGGCGCCAGCTACAAAAATTACGCATTCCAATTTTCAAATGGGAAAGAAATGGATTACATGACATATTTAAACGATGCACCAGTAGAACGAAATTTTAGGAATTTGGAATAAATCAGGAAAGCTGATAAGAGGTATTTTTCCTCTTGCCATAGACATCTGAAATATAGAAAGTAACTCTTACGAAATTGTCGGGATTACTTCAACTCCATACGAATAAATTTGAATTCGAAGATTTTAAACCGGATACTGGATCAATGGACAGTTGAATTTCTTCGGTGATCGTATGCAAAAGGAATTATTCACGATATAAATTCAAGGGAAATCGTGTTTCTAATCACAAAAAATCTCACAGAAAGAAACGCATCCAGGATTGGATTAGTTTCGTTATGAGGGGATAACGTAAATACATAAATTGAACATGAAGCTAAAACGGCATTTAGCGAAATGTAATTCAAAATGTATCAAGCCTGTTGACCAACAGTCCCAAAAAATCGAGAATGCGGCATTATGACAAGACTTCTTCGAAGAAGAGATCAATTTCGCCTGAGTTTGAGACCTCTCTTCGAAATTTAGGAAGAGATGCACTATGACACATCAGGCCGAAAAATATTCATATTGACTCCGAAACGTAGATGTACCTTCGCCAAACGGTATGTTGTTTGCTGTACATTTCCATTTGACGGTGTCGCAAGCCGCACCCTCGAGTACGCAACAGGAGCTTCCACCAACTGAGCAACTTCAACGTTATTCATCATCTGCGATTGCTGGACCGATGACGGTACAGATCTGGTTGTCTGCACCGAGATGGCTGCGCAATCCGGAGCAGCTTGGGTAATCGAAGCAGCCTGCACAATATGCTGCTGCTGATATGCACCCTGAGAGTGCGTTCGCACATTTGAATGCACCTTCGCCTCCAAGGACCTCGTCTTGTCCTCCAAAGCAATTCTGTAGCCTCGTTCTTGATCCAATTCACGTTGGAGGGCCATCAACTAAAAATAAAAGGGATTCATTAACCATACACAATTGTATCACATAAATGTATTCGCCCAACAGCCGATCACTCGGTTTACCATTGTTTTAAGATCCCGCAAAAAAGGAATGAGAAAATGTTCATCTCACAGGAAAAAGCATGTCTCCCAGAAAATATAAAAGATCTAGAAAACGAAACGCACGACTTGGTTTAACGCGGTGATGGGGTTTTCAAACTTCTTGAGCCTTGAATGCCATTCCACAAAAAATCGGTTTCCATCGGCAATCAAGTTAAAATTTGGCCAATAAAACGGCTTTACATCGGAAACTTTTTTGCGTCTGTCAGTAGAAGTTTCGATCACAGATATCACAAAATGTAGGTAATCGACATGTACATCATGTAACGCAAAAAAGGAATCTTCCGTTCATTCTGGATTTCAAGCCGTTATTGCATAATACGATTACATAATTCAAGCTTCTTGAAATACGCCAACACCGGTCAAAACAATGAAATGCAGTGATTTGGAAAGTTATTCAGAAAGTTTCGAATCTTGGATGTGCACTCCATACAGAAATTGCGGTCGTCGGAGAAATTAACCAATCTTAACCGTACATAAGGAAGTACTGTACCGCATTTCGACATACATTCAGACTATCCCATTCAAATCGTTTATTCACGTCGAGGATACCGAACACGCACCTGCTGTTGCAGCGTTTCTGAAGCCCCATTGACACCAGAGTGATGAGAATTCTGCGCCTGATGAGGCTGCACGTAAACCTGATGCTGAGACATGGAAACAGCCGCCACCTGGTTGGAAGCGGGTGACAGGGAGCCCACACCGACCATGACATGCTTCTGCTGCGGCGGCTTCACGTCCGTCGTCTCCGTCTCTTGCTCTATACTCTGGTAATTATGCTCCAACGGGGGATGATGCATGAGCCCAGCTGAGTTGCCCACAGCCGCCACGGCAGTCGCAATATTCCGGACACGCTTCTCCCCTTCGTCAGCTTCCGCTTCAGCCTCAGCCAGCGCATACGCGCGCTTCCGCTTCATCGGCGGCAAGTGCATCTGGTTCGCGTACTCGCGCTTCACGGTTGTAACCGGGACGGAAATTGAAGTTCCGCCGTTGGTACCCACGCTGCCATTCGACGACTGCGGAACGCTGACCACCACTGACGGCGACGGAGTCCCAGATGAGTGCAATCCGTCATTGACGGGATCCTTGGAATGCGCCTGGTCAAGCTGTCGCTTCAACTCGCAGTTCCTCGTCAGCAGTTGAGTCTTCTCCTGCTCCAGTTGATAGATGTACTGCACCGCCAACTGCAGTATCGCCGCCTAAAACGATAAAGCCATCGGTCAGAGAACACTCGCAAATTCACCAAAAATAATTTCGGGAGTCTTATTGCGTCTGTCAGATGGAAGTTTCGATCACGGATCTCACAAAATGTAGGTAATCGTTAAATACATCATGTGACGCAATAAGCATGCTACCGTTCGAACAGAATCCCTGAATAAAATACCCCGCAAATCATTTCCGGGTTTCCCTTCCTGCACGATTGAATAAATGCGTCCCATCCCCTATCCATAATTCAGAAAAAAATATGAAACCAAGAAGTGTTTCAAAATATACCTGAGCAAAACGTGAAAAATGAACCTATCTCGTGAGGGTCGATTCTCAGTTCTTGATCCTCAACCATGATGACGAATCCCATATGCAGTATTGGACTAGATAGATAACATGAAGAAAACTATATCCACAGGTGAAATTAAGCTTAGTCACACTGCGATTGTTACTACTGTAACAGCACCACTCGTCCACAGACCGAAAGTCTGACAAGTTAGCTTAAGAAATCATGCATCCGATCTCCTAATTGTCACCGAACGCCCGATGCATTCTCACAAAATAACGCATTCGATTCGGTACGCGAAGATAGACGCGACACTCAACAAAATCATTGGGCAAATCGATGATTCAAAGGACGACCGACTTCATGTCGGCCGAGAAGGGGAGCAAATCGTTCTAGTCGCGCGCTTGGAAACTATGAATGAAGCAGAGAGCCAGCAGCACTCCCGTTGTACGACGTTCGCGGCCAACACTACTACGGAGCGACGTGAAAAACCGAAGGGGGCACACACCGTCATTGTATGCTGGAGAGGGAGAAATGGCCCTCATCAACCAGCGTGCAACGTTCGGTATTTTCCCTCCGATACACCAGCATCGGAATTACGCTATAGCCGCTGGGGAAGATCCCAGGGGCGAGGAGAAGCAATTCTTCATCGCCCAAACGATCATGAACCGGGGAGAAAACCAGTCTGCTAAGAAAACAAGGCGAAAAAAGCCTGCACGTTTCGTTGCTGGGCGCGGAGAGAGAAAGCAAGAAATAAAATTAAAACACGCGCAACTCAGGAACTACTCGCTCGTGACGTGGCACGCGTAGTACAATCGTTTTCAACTAAGGGGCGCCACTCTCAGGTGCGCGCTCACCCGCGGGAACTAGACGTTCGGCGGACACCCCTCTATCTCGTATCGTTCCCATTGCGTATACGAAGTCGCATCAGCAAGCAGGGGGAGGGAGCTTGATTATAGGGGAGAGACGCGCCAGACAGGACAGAGAACGCCAGGCATTGCCACGATCCGTGCATGACTCAGGCGAAGATTTTCCGTCAGGGACAGGCATTGAGGTCGCGCTCCAAGCTGAACGGGCGTCAGGGGGATGGGAGAAAACAGGTTGCCAGATACTGTCGGATTTATAACTGCAGTCCCGCTTCCACATACACATGAGATGTTTTTCTATCCCTACCGGGCGAACAACTTGCTTGATATTCTTCTCTCCCTTTCCGCGGGGTGGAGAGTGGTTTTCCCCTTCAACCACACAATAGGCTTTTCATTCAAATAACGAAGTCGCACGATGCTTCAATAAGCGTCCGGGAAAAATTAAGCAACGATACGTCCCTCATGAACGCGTGTGCACTGACCATTCAGTACTTCCCTCAATATAATACCTGTTCCGGACTTATTCATACCGAACGAAAACCGTAAGAAGTTCGCAATAGTTCACTATTGACGCCACGCATAGCTTACTCGAACGATGATTAGATCCATCGGACAAATTGCCCGGAAATAAGAAATAACCAGACAACTTCACAAGATTAACATAAACTCGCGTCAATTGAATAATAATCCTACCTTCTCGAAACGAATGAGACCTCACACAGAGAAATCAACAAGTGTGCTCATAAAGAGAACAGCTCTCATAAATCTTGCTGCGAAAGCTATTCGAGAGGGGGGGGAAGACCAGTGTGTGTGAATCATAAAAGGGAAATCGGCGACAACCCTGGCGGGTCAGGTTTCTCCGCGCCCCACACTCGAGTGCCGCGCTGGTAACCAGTCGGGTCTTCATCTTGCACACCAGATGGCGGAGAGGGTCTCCCCCTCCCCCCCTCCAGACATGTCGGCCTCGGAACTCCCCTACCCGCGCCTCACCTTCCCGCTAGCCACGAATGCAACTCGCCATCTGTCCCTCCCCTTGACACGCGTCAAGCTCCCAAGCTCAGGAGGACGCGCAACCGATATCAATGACCCCGTGCAGCTCGCAACGGCTCGCGAAAAAGAAATAAGTTATACGGGCTGACGCTATTCACCAAGCGCCTTCCAGGAAACCAGGCTCATTCTAACCCCATCTATGCTCGCGTTGCCTCTTCCGGGAGGAGCGTTCCGACAACCTTGAGAAGCATCCGAGAAAACGCTACGAAATGACGATACTGTACGTCACTGGCAATTTCAAAAGTTTAGAGCAAAATTGGCAATTACGAAGTTTTCTGGGAATGTTTTGCCCGTGCGGAAAGCCATCAAACCTTGATCGAATATTGTACTGTACTTCAGAAACATGAAATCAAGCAGTTCCTTGTTAACATCTTCGAAAATTAATATCAGACGACGATATACCTCCACCTACAACTTGACTTCATGACCACAGAAGTTCATTATTTAACACACGTCATGAAGACCTTGACTATAGGGCACGACTTTCAAAGCAGGGTCGAATTGACGCTCAAGTACTGTACCATACCGTATTTCTAACACGATAGAATGCGCATAAAGAAATACAGTACTGTAAAATCATACTCATGATGGAATGCCGTTGCCCGAGTTCCAGGAAACTACGAGTAATCGTTCTCAAAAAAAAAAAAAATACAGCACAGATAATCTGCTACTTGACGATGCTGTTCTTAAGAAGTTAAAAGATGAAACAAATGGAGAATGAAAAGACGCATTTCTTCTTGTCGAATACAATTCAGCACGCTTCTTTAAACGACGGTCATTTAAATCTACCATACGTTGAAGGCAAAGTACTGTATACATTTCTTGATTCAGTCCCCTTCCATCAGGTCACCGGCAGGAACGAGACAAATAACCTCATAAGCCTGACAACTTTTCTACAGGACACGCCCAGACAGCAGAAGACAAATAATCCTATCGCCACCGAACTGCCAAGAGACTCATTTATCTACACTTCTCCTAGTAGAACTCAGTACTCTCCCCTTAACAATTTCAGGCACACCTTCACGCGATGTTATTCCGCCCGAACATCGTCCGATGAAACTTGCTCGTTATCAGTCAGATAGGGAATCCTGAGCGAGAACAAAACCAGATTCTCCTGGGAAAGAGATAGACGAGAAGCGCAGGAAAACATGACTCAGCACATCCGGGATACGATCACTCAGCTGAGACCAGAGCCGAGAAGGCGGTCGAGTCAAGAAGCCCGGAAGGCAAGACTGCAATGCAAGCATAGTCTTCCTCTCTTCCTTGTCTTATTACGCCGCGACAACGCGTGACATCGCTTTCCCTCATGAAATTTTCGTTCATGACAAACTCATCAAAGCCAGTACTCGGAGCAGCATCGCATATTCGTTATGAAAAAATCACAAGATTCGCTTCATTCACAAGCCCTACATCTCTCCACGCATGTAATTTCGAAAATCAACAGAAGAAAAATTAAACAAAATCGCGAGGATATCGTGAATTAGGCATGAATAGAGATTTTCCCCAACATAACATAAGGAACTCTCCCGGCGTCTGAAAAGATCCCTTCCAACATTATGCTTACCCCTATAACTAGGGAACAAAAAGTCGGATCGTAATGAAGAAAGGGAATACAGTACATACATCCACATTGTGAAGCACACCTAGTCTTCAGGTATTCCTATAATACCCAGTGGAGAATTTGTCCTTGTACTCACAAATCTTGTTGAAACTATTCCTTATCATGGGATTATTTCCCAGCATGACCGAAAAAGATGAACGAGATGTTCCCTGTCCCGTTTTGAGCTACGAGGCGGCGCGCGCCTACCAACGAACCATCGACATCAACGCACAGCTCAGCTGTTGGCACGTTGATTCACGATTTCCGCATCCCACCCGGCGACTGAACAATCCTTCAAACCGGAACCAGGGACGGTAAGGCATGTGAAAATCGAGGCAATTCATCAGCCCAATCACGCACCGATTACCCCACACACACAGACTAGTCCCGTCCCGCATGCAGCAGAAGAGAGAACGACCATGGGCATGGAGGCCAACTTTACGATGCGTCAGCTGGGGCTTTCTACCGCGCGTCAGCGGCTGGCACCACACGAGCAGCAGAGACATAGCAACGGGCGCCGAAAGAGAGACAGAAGAGATGTACGAAAAGAACCTGGCATCCAGCCGTTGCCAACAGTGCAGCCGCCAAGTTTCCCGTCTCTCTACCACGCTGGCAATCCCAAGCACATCGTCCAGCTGGCGCTTGCTGGGGCGTAACGATCTTCACTCTCCCTCCCCGTCTCTCCTGCGCTGCTGCTCCTCTCAACAGCGGTGCACTGCGTCCAGATCGAGGGAGGGAGAGAGAGAACGATGCATGCATGCCATGAACACGGGGGTGAGACCAAATAGGAATGGAGAAAAAAGGACCCTCCAGCGATGGTGCTGCTGCGAGTTTTGCTCGTGTCGGCCGTACCCAATGCTCCTGGCCGGAAACTGCGCAATATTCTCTCTCCCTTGCTCTTTCTCCTCTCCCCCAACGCGGTAAGCGACGCACCGTCTGGCTTTTTTTCGGAGGCCCAGTTTTGCACCCGCCAACGGACGTGGATTCCGAACGGCTGACCGACACATCTGGTCTCGTCACGAGCATGTCTGAATCATCGAAAATAGCTCCGACAAATTCGAGATAATCCCCGTTTCACACGCATCTGACCGATTACGCACCCACTACCGCCCCCACCCCAAAAATGCGCGCCAGCACCTGATATGGGTACAAACTGCAACATACGGCATTCGCGGAACAAATTGGAAAAGACTCAACGCTTCGCATGACGGAAGTCCCGGGTTTCTCCGAAAGCTCTGCAAAACGTGACAGACAAAACCCCCACCGTCGTAATCGGAACATGTGATAATCAGATGTTCCCTGAGTAAGGCCCGCATTCTGATCGATTTGGGTCAACAGGCGCATTTAAACCGAACCCTGATCTAACCAATCATGAGATTTTGAGAATGAATCTGGTTGCCTCGCCGTGCGATTCGACAACCATTATGTGTTATCCAGCAGCTACTGCGACAGTACTGTAATGTGACGATAATTCTGACTCTTGATTATGTTGCGCCATCATTCAATAGGTACACATAAGTAACGTACTACGCAGGCTTCCGAAATTTCTCCTAGGCTGCCGATTCAATTATGTGAAGTGATCTCTCGAGGGTTGAGCTTAATTTAACTTTACCCACCGTTACCCAGGTCAGCTCAGAGGTCCAAATGAGTGACTCGAGGCCCTGATACAAAACCATCCAAACCTCGATTTTCGGAATGCACGGACGCGACAGCCTTCGTTACATTAAACAAGTCTAGCTGAAGAAATTAAAGCTTCTTCGTGCAATGGAAGTTATCTAACAACCTTTCCAAACAAGACACAGCGAGCCAAAATGTATGCATCCCGCGAAGAAACCCCAAATTTGGGTCGTTGTTCTAATTGGAGGAAACTGACAACAGGATTTCTGCAGAGAAACCGTCACAATCCGGAATCAACGTGAGACATCAGCCCACGTGTAAGGGACCTGCCAAAACTTCCGCATCCGTGCGACCTGATCTTGAGTTCGGCAGAAGAACGCCAAAAACAAAAACAAAGCCATGCGACGGTTCCCGCCGTGAGAAATAAATCCTTCAAAATTTTCCGAGACGGCTCGAGAATTCCTCCCTTCTCTCGGCAACAGAGTTGGGTCGTTCAACTTCCCTTCCGTCACAGGTCATTCAGCTGAAGCCACGCAACGCAAGCATCACCGACTCGGACCTTGGGTCATTGAACGACTCACTTCACCCTGTGCAAGAAGGCAAGGAGAGGAGAGAAACAATTCCTTTTCTCCGGCGCGAACTCAACGGCCTTCCCGCCGCTGAGTACCGTGAAATTCTGTCTGGGGCGTTGCGAAATGAGTCCAGTACAGGTCACGGAGTAGATTCTCCGTAAAAAAAAATACATGGATCATTCGAGGGGCGAGAGAACTTCACTCAAGAATATCCGTCGATTCAACATAAACCTAGCCTTCAGCAGCTCGTGAAATGTCTCGGGAGTTTTAAAATAGTGTCCAGTAACAATAATCCAGCGGTGCGTCTGTCTCGTTCGGGACAGTACCGTGTACTCGCTCCCTCACTCCCCTGGCCGGTCGATCTGCGTTCCTGTCGGCTGTCTGGCGCGAGAGAGTGCAGTAGGCACTGGCGGCGGAAGGACGTGGAAAAGTCGACTGGGACTGCGACCCAGACGGCGGCGCAGCCATCTGTCTGCATTTTCCATTGATTCTCTTCCGCTCCCTTCATGATCACATGAATTGTTTTTCTCTTCCTTCTTCTGCCTTCCTTCAGTTTTTTTTTCTCTGCTTCACCCTCCCGCCTTTGGAATGGTAACGGCATTTAAAGCAGCAGCAACACCACCACCAGCTGCCTGCCGCCGAACGCGGGAGAGGAAATTGCGGAGTAAAATAGTAATGATTTGTGTCTGTTGGCAACAGGAGACGCTTACTGCGTCTGGTTTGTGACTCATTTGCAACGACCTTCTGTTGCGCACCTATTTTGATCCATGGAACGGACGCGCATGAAAACAGCTGTCTTTTTTATTGATGAACCTATGAAAAAAGCAGGGTTACGACGAAACGCATGTTGTCACATGGTACATTTCAGTAGTACTGAATCGTGGTTTTCCAGATAATTCGAGCTTACGTGAATTTACAGCCTCGGTTCGTTTGGATGTTTCAGAGACATTTTGATCAATATGTTTTGCCTACTTTTATAAAAATGTAAGTGGCTTACTTGCCCGTGAAAGGTGATTCAAGGGTGACCTTTCTGATCGGTCGTCTGTTTATTTCGAGAAGCTAAGAAATCTTGGAATCAGTCGTGAATGTAATGCGGAAGAATCATCTGGTCTGAGATCAATATCGAAATCAGGAAACATCCGAAAGGCGGATGAGGTTGCTCTTAATTCATGCCTCTTCCGAATTTTCAAGGCTCACTATGGGGGAATACTGTATTGTTTTTTTTCCAATTGACATGAAAGCCCTAGGGCCTAGACGATGTGACCCAATTTAACTCCGTCCGGGGTACTAACTTCACAGCGCGGGTGTGTGGGGCTGTGCGGGGCGACGGACTTTCTAAAATAGATCAGAAGAATGTGCGGAATTTAGCGATTTTCCCCGGTTCCTGGTGGTTCTGGTGGGAGTTCGCGGTGCGGTGCGTCTGTCTCGTTCGGGACAGTACCGTGTACTCGCTCCCTCACTCCCCTGGCCGGTCGATCTGCGTTCCTGTCGGCTGTCTGGCGCGAGAGAGTGCAGTAGGCACTGGCGGCGGAAGGACGTGGAAGTGGTGGGGGTGGATTATGAATGCTTGTTTGACGCTTCGAAATGGTTCTTCCGTTTCATTGCCCGTCGTTGGGATGGTCTCTGCTCTAAATCAGCAGGCTCTTTTGCTCCTCGTGCTCCGTGTAAATGCCTGTAGAAATTACATTAGTGTCGCTCTTTCACTATCTGCATCACCATCGGATTATTTTAAAACCCATGACCGCTGGAAGTAGCCTTTTTTGCGGACCCAAGAAAATTAAGCAGATGTTAAAGATGTACTTTTTTTCTTGAAGTAGTTCAGGTGTACTCGAAATGAAGTTAAAGGGATCAGAAAAATTCTTCATAAGAGAACCCGAGGCAACCCCTGAAAAGAGTAAAAAACCTGGTGGGACCGACGGAAAAATTCGTTTTACGTGGAAAACCCTTTTAGTCACCTGTATTCCCACTGGAGCCATGCCCGACAATAGAAAGGTATCAAGATACCAGCTGCATCCCATCAAAAGCAATTGAGTACTTGGCGGGATATGCATAAAATCTTTCAATGAAGAAAAGGGGTTCAGAAAAATAGTCCGCATTTTTGGACCGAATGACCCGGATTTTGGACGTACAGGTTGACCTATGAAATCTTCGGAGGTCTAACAGCCGAAGAAAATCTTCAAACAATGCAATTTCCTCTACATGTCCCTTACATCCTTTAATCCAAGAGAATTTGAATGCAAAATTTCAAAAACGAAGATAAGTTTCGATCCCGAATTTCTGCGGGTTCATTTTATATCAACATAAGATGCAATTATACCAGGCGTCGAGCTGTTTTGATTTTTGAATCAACCCAATCACAGAATCTGCAAGAGGAATCGCGAAAAAACCGCCAGAAAGTGAACGCGGCTAAGACCATTTTCAGACGCACCTTCGTCAATACAATATTCTCCCCTTGACCTAGTGAAAGCTTTCAACACAAACGTCCAAGAGTTCAACTTTCAGTCGCCCGATCCAAATAAATTTCACACAAGAAAGAAATAAAAAAAAATCTCGTATAATCATCTCACGTAAGATATCCTCATCAAAAATGTCTCAAAGTAAAGGTTCATTCAGTTGAAAAAAGGTCCGCATCATTGTGCAACGAACTTTCGAAACATCCCCCGTAAGTACCAGCCAGCAGGCGTAAGATGTACACGTCAGCAACGGAAAGGTACGGTGAAACACAGGTACTGCGCAGTACTTTTCGGTACCGGTCATCACAGACAGGGGGAAAAGGAGAACGGAATGCGAGGCGAAGCACAACGGCCTTCAGTTCAACGCACTCATACCGCCTTCCTCCGCATTCCTCACGGTTTCTGCGACCAACAGCCCTTGCAAGAAAATTCAATTCTGCGCATACCATAAGCCCCATGCATGTCGCACCTGTGCGGCACCTTCCCTAAACGGAATATCCCGCAATGCAGAGGTCCCCACGATAGATTTCTACGCATCGATAGGGTTTTGGAGATACAAAAAACGGGACATACATTTATTCATTTATAACGCTATAGTAAAAGCCCCTTCCCCTCCCCAGCGTTCTACATCAACAGGCCCCCCTCACCAGGAGGTTATCGAGTGTCACGCCACCGGTACACTCCAGCGAGCCTTCACGGTCGCTCAACAGGCCTCCTATGTCCCCCACAACTACCTTCCCCCTCCCCCTCTCGAACGCGAATTGCTCGTTAATGAAAGAGACTTCAATAGGTGACTTCAAATAATCCAGGTGTTATGCATACACTACATTAGTCTCGCGACTTGCACGCGGAATAACACGAGCGCAATTTTTAAAGTAGCACCCATCCTACACATAGCCATCCCAGGTGTTGTTAGCGCCCTGAAGTAAAGAAAGCTATGTGTTCCCGGAATACAGGTGACTAAAAGGGTTTTCCACGTAAAACGAATTTTTCCTTCGGTCCCACCAGGTTTTTTACTCTTTTCAGGGGTTGCTTCGGGTTCTCTTATGAAGAATTTTTCTGATCCCTTGAACTTCATTTCGAGTACACCTGAACTACTTTAAGAAAATAATACATCTTTAACAATTGCTTAATTTTCTTGGGTCCGCAAAAAAGGCTACTTCCAGCGGTCATGGGTTTTAAAATAATCCGATGGTGATGCAGATGGTGAAAGAGCGACACTATTGTAATTTCTACAGGCATTTACACGGAGCCCGAGGAGCAAAAGAGCCTGCTGATTTAGAGCAGAGAACATACCAACGACGGGCAACGAAACGGGAGAACCATTTCGAAGCGTCAAACAAGAGGATGCTGGACGGAGAAGTAAGGGGGTCACCCCGAAGCAGCAGTAAAAACCTTCTTTAAAGCCCGTCGCTTCACCCTCCAACCCCCCCACTTCTGTTCACCTGAGCAGATGGGGGGAGGGTTCCAAAGCGGGTCGCACACACACCACCCGTCACTCCGACGCGCGAAAACCTCCCCCAGGATTCAGCGCAGCTGCTCACTCAGCCAGCGGGACCCCAGACGGGTGGCCGTACTAAACACAAGGTGACGATGAAGCAGCACGCGCCCACATGACACGCGTAGAACGAGCTCTTAGGCGACCGGTTACCATGACGACCTCGGGCAGCGGAACAATCGAGGAGAAAACAGGAAGAACGGGTTTTCCCATGCCCGGGAAGAAAAGAAAACTTTACAAGACAGACAATAACACAACTTCGGGCATTCAAAATCCACCCCCACCACTTTCAGGGATTCTCAGCTCGAACGGATGGGTGAACAAAACCGGGTAAAAGTTTTCACGAACCTTCGACAACTTCTCGCCTTCCTGATGCGGCAGCAAGTTTCGCAACGAATTGAACCCATTGTTGATGCTTTGCATCCGACGTCGTTCGTTGGAGTTCGCTATTACGCGTCGCATCCGCTTCTCTTCCTCCATCTGGGTTTTCGGGCTGCTCGAACGGGCCGACGAATCACCGCCTAGCTTCCCCCTACACACATTTACGGCACAAAATTATTATACTGTAATAGCTAAGTGAAGGAACGCAGACGCCGAAGATTGAACCATATATCAAGCCTCATATTTCCTAATTACATCCTCATAATGAAACCACCACGTACCCGGGTAATTTGGAATCCCACGTCACACAATCGCCGTTGTCTTCGTCCGATAATCCCGACATGCCTGCGATTCACAACACTCACTTCACGACAGCAAGTCGCGTAAACTCGTCCATGAAATACGCGCAGAAAGGATCGAGCAGGTCCTGGTCTTCCAGATCCACTTCCACCTGTAGGCACCGTCGAAATGCGTCAGCACACGTAGATTATGAAAAACGCACGTGCACGTCACGAGAAAATTCGCGCCAAACGCGTCATCCCGCACACCACTACCCAGTAACCCGCGATTTTCGATAGCAAGCTTCCGTTACGCGCGGCATTGATTAAAAAAAAAAATTGCGTACGCCTCTCCCCTCATCGCAGCGGGGCGCGGAGCCTTCACTCCACCAACCGATACTAGCCCGCGCCGCTCCCTCCACAAAAAACTAGCCCCGGTTGGCGCGAAACAGCTGGGCGATTGAACTCTGCTTGTATTCGCAACCCAAGGTTAACGAACACAAGCAAGGGTTTTTGCTAATGATATCGAATCAAATACTGGGAAAGTTTAATATCAAAAAAGAGATAAAGCAACAGTGCTAAATTTCCAGACGGATACGGGAAAAACAGGCAGAAGGCGGGCGATTCATGTGGTATCTGAATACACGGCGAGCCGCAGAGCAACGTCTCCTCGTTCCCGCGCGGGAACACGGAGCCCAGCCAGGGAATTCAAATATGTCTGCCGGAGAGGAGGATTCCAGACATCGATATTACATCGAGAGGGAGTGACAGCTCTCCCCTCCCATCCCCGACAGAGAAAAAAACCACAGGGAGTACAGGATCGGGGTATCTCCTGGCAGATGCATGTATGTATAAACAGTATGTATGCATGTATGTATGTGCACGCGTGCGTTCCCACATTTTCCGTGTTCCGGAAGGGAGGGATTCTTTTTCCAATTGTACCGGGAGCTGCGGTTTCTACGGGCTATGTCGACTAGCACACGGTACCTTCAATCGCTGCTGCTGCTGCGTAGAGGATTCCTCGCCCCGCTCGTTCTCGCACCAGGAGACATACAGTATGCACGCGATCAAACTCGTCCCAAAGCGCGGGCCTCATTTCCTCACTGTACCCGTGTCATACATGTGCATTTTTCTTCCAGCGGAAGCAAGCACTTGAGCCCGTTGAACAGTAATTTAATCCATTCTATTTTTTTATATTCACCTCTCATATCAGGATGCAGCAGTCCTACATTCGCTGGCTGCTGTTCATATACAGTAGTAATTTCGGATATTAGGATCGGCTCGATCGGAGTAGTCCAGCGTTAAAAGATATCACGTCTCGTCAAAATTTCGAAGCTGTCCCGGTGCTCAACACGAATCGATTCAATTACGCAGTACATCATAGTACTGTACACCCGGTATGTACATGAATTTAGTAGCAAAATACCGTACATTCTCGAATCCATCCGATATCAGTTCTGATGTACGATCCGAACATTTCAGTACACCATTCGGACTCTTAATTACTTTTTATCGCTTCAAGGAATCTGCGTTCGTCCATGACGACAGCCCGGATTCAATATAATCGGGCATTACGTCCAATTTTAATCACTTGGGTTTCCAAGCGGTGCGGTGCAGCGTCAAACCATCGCGTCAACAGGTGTATCTCACCGCTTCAGGATGATTCCTGATGCGGGTCAGGCTCAACTCCTGACTGACATGCAAAAAAAATTGTGTAACCCGCGTCATGTGAAACTTCTCGACGATGTCAAGTTATCCTTCAAACAAACTGAGAGAAGATGTAAACGCGGGCGGAAAATTCCGCTGACGGTCTTCGTGGACCGGATGCGCCACAGGCTCACAGCTGCACAAGTGCGTCCGTCACGCGGCTCATGAATGCTCTTGTCTCTCCCCTTCTCTCTCTTGTACCGATGTGCCGCCCGTGCGACGCACGCTGTCGCCGCGGGGTGGCGTTGCAAGTCAGTGTGCACCCGCCACGCGTACAGTTCGCGGAACAGACACCGCGCTCGTTTTCCCCGTCTTCTCGCGGACATACCCTCCCGAAATTCCAACGATTCAGTCCCTCTCGGGGAACAGCACACATGGCGGGCTGCTTTTCTCGCGGCTTGTCAAGAGAGGGAGAGAGAGAGGCGTACGAGGGACGAAACATCAGACTCTACTACGACCAGCAGGGGGCTCCTCGAGGCCGGCTCAGCGCGGGCTCGCGTACAGCCGCATTCCACCGGCTGCGCTCGTTCACAGTCACATGATCGCCGACACATGACCAGAGAAACTGGAGCATCGGAAAAGTCGAACAGACAGAAGGTCGCAATTACTTCACGCGGGCAACGGAAGTTTCTTTCAGCTTGCAGTCGTGCGCTCCGATACCACGAATGTCGAATATAACTCACCACGCGTTATTATCGCCATTAGTGATGATCAAATATCAAAACGTTCCCATCATACGGACAATCGTATATTCTCCACAGAAATCATAACGCATTTGCGAAGCAATAAATTGACAATTCGGCTCAATCAATCAAGGGGTTTCTCGCACAAGATCCGCGTGAGATAAGCTTGCCTCCAATGTGATCCAAAAATCGCGACCATCAAAATTATAATTGATCATTACTTTCTCGAACTTATTTTAACCTTTCATCAAGACCAGAATAGATACCATATACAGTGCCAAATAACGTTTTGATTTTGACAGGGGAAATCCGGGGTACGTTTCAGACTTGCATGAGAAATGCTGACTTCAGGGATCGAATATCGATACCAGGTTAACTCACTCTACAACAATTTGTTTATGAACAACGAATTACTCTTCGGCACGATGGGGGTTCTCCAAGACGAAATTTTCTCTTCAACGATTTTTTTTTCTGGCCTCCTGAATTGTATCGCTAGTCTGTAGTCCAAAAATAACATTGCTTCACTTTTTTTTTTCACAGCAATCCAAATATGGCAGCATTTTTACTATTAAAAGTGGCAAACCTTTTGCAGAAACTATTTTTTGCAGAAAATATTACACTAAATAATAAAAGGAAAAAAGTATATCTTGCGAAATAATTTCATGGATAATGTGACAAATTTAGCAGCGTCTTGGAACCAGTTGCGTCCCATTCCAACTTCCAGTACCAGTTCACTGAAAGCTTTTTTGCTAAGAACGAAGAAAACACGAAAATTTCACTGAACAGAAGACATGTAGACCAAATAAAACACTATGGGCAAAAATGTCATTTCCTGCTCTACAGTTGGTATGAATCTTGTAATTAGGCACATACTGTTTTGTACAGGGGCACTACGAACGTTTCGGAAAATCAGTCGGGATGCTAAATACAGTACAGTACTACGATGTGAGCTTCAGGTGTATTTTCACGTACTATTCAAAATTATTAACTTTTAAATTGTTCCCCTCAGATGGAGCCAAACAAAAATTACCAGCGCCAAAAATACTTCAACAAGGGTAAATTCAGATTCTTTGGTAGAACTTTGACCAAGATTTTATAAAATTCAGATGATCATAACAAAATTATTGATAAGAGGAATCAGCTGAGAGGATGATTTGTGAGTGGTTTCAGAAAATTTTAGAATAGTCATTAAGATCTCCATGGTACCTACCACATAGGAAGGCTGCCCGGAGCATCAACATCTGCAGATAATGCAGCTGCTCTGGAATAAGCCAGCACAGAACTACCGAACAATTAATGCCAAAAACGGCAGAACTAATTGGACTTCAATGCCCCAGCAATCGAAACCTCACATGTGGGATCCATTCTCTCCGCAAAAATCTACCAGGTGGGGCTCGTGAAACTCCTCAGGGGATGAAAAAATCTTGAACACATTTATAAATGGAGAATTATTATGATATAAATTATTATATAAATTATTTATTATTCATTGTGAAAAAAAAAACTCGAACGCTGCATCGTAGAATTTTTCATACGAAACTGTAAGCTGCGAGTCAGTAGGATAACTTAATGGATAGTTCGATGAATTACAGTGCGCAATCTTTACCTTCAAGTGATGGACACAAATTCGTTTAACTGAACGGTTTTGACAAGAGGTACAGTACTCATATTGCGTCCATGGTTTCTTCGTTCAGCATCCACTCACACTACCCGGGGAACCAAAACAGTGTTTTTTGCAATTTTTTCACAAACCTAGTGAACAAAATTAGTATGATTCTCGTTAATCATGACTGCTCCCAAAAAATAAAAGATTTTTTTACTAAAATGAAAGAGGCATTAGAACCTATTGACGTGTAGGTTGAAAAGCTGGGAAACACAATTTTGAACAGATCGTACATGTAACAAACAATCTACGGCAACACAAAACCGCATAAAACAAGAAAATATGTTTCCAAAAACACGTGACCTAATTCTAAAATTCATTCTAATTTTACGCACTAATGGATAGTCTATACGCATTCCATGGTCCATTTCGCAATCAATTATCCAAAATAGAGTCCCATTTGATAATGTAGTACTACGCTGAACTTCCATTCAGAGTGTGAGAGACCCAGGGTCATTACGGCAGCCGGCAAGAAGAAACGCTATTTTGCATATGGACCAAAATTTACGAGTGTTCGCAGAATTTCATCGAGAAAAGGCACTTGATTACTGGTGGACTAGGAACCGGGGATTTTTTCGGGTTCACAAGACCTATTGATGCATACTCAGCTTGTTTACACAGATTATTGCGCTTAACGAACCACCCATCAGTATCGTTAATGGGGAATAATTAGGAGTCTCTTTATTAAATCCAGGGGAAAACCCTGTGCAAGTTTCACGCTTCATCGGTCCGCGCAACTTCCCAGATCATGTCTAACCGAACCGTTAAATTTATACAAGTTCCACCCGGACCCATTAACACCCAATCATTCAATGCGTACGAAGAGACATATCATCTGGGATTCCATTCTCGAATCAAAGGTGGGCATGAAGGTCAATGCAGAATCGCCAACGCGGAAGCTTCAAATACTCCAACGTGCAGAAAAAAATTGATTACCAATTTTTATTTTTCTCCCCACACTTGCGCGGCAGACAACTTCAAGGAGGAGCCGGCACGAGGAATCCAAAACACCCTGTTTTATGAATCGAAAAAAAAGAACGATACGAACGCGTAGACCTAGTACAGAGGAGTGGAAATAAACTCGCACTTCGCTCGACAGCAGCTGATCCCGCCTCCGTGTAGCGTTGAACTCGTGGGCAACAGTTTAGGCGCGGTATCTCTTAGATGCGAGTCCCGGGTGGGCTTCCAAACGAGACACTCGCCTCACAGCTGATTGCTCTCACGATTCTTCCGGCTTTTTATTTTTAAATAACGTTACATGAACCTCATGACGCATGTAATAACGTTACATGTGTCGACTAACGCAGCGATGCAGGTCATCGAAAATTAGATGAAATAAAACAACTGAAGGTAGGCACGTGGGGCAGAGGAATACTCACTACATCGAATTTGCCTATGGCGATATTTTCGGAACAATTTATGAATAGAAAATTTCGCCCCGATTTTTCCTGGTCCGCGCAGTACAAAGATACCTCAGTTAATGGACTTGATCCCTCACAGCGGGATATACATCATAAGAAGTGCTTGAACCATATAATTAACGGCAACTTAAGTCATCGATAAGCAGATGATAATTTCTGGACAAGAAACTCCCACTGAGACCTGTACCGCATTTTGTTTGATTCCATTTGTAACATTTTCAAGTCGTTCTTTAAAACTCTCGTCCTGAAGTAAAATATTCCTTCTGGCGAAAAACTAAATTGAATTATACTGTACTTGAAAAACGCGTTGGGTTCATTATACTGTACATTACACGCTAACTTGCACAATCATTTGTTCAGAACAAATTTACCAACTTGAAAAGTATTTGATCTAGTGCGTAGCATCTCATTGCCCTTATTATTTGACAGCAGGGGGTGCCCAGCCACAACCGGACGATCCAAGTAAAATGCATGAATCCCCGAGCAAACCAAAAATTATTTCGTGATGAGATTGGATTCAATCGTTCAGCAAGCGTTCATAATTGCCCGCGGGAGGGGTTTACTTACATACTTGTTCCCTCTAACACAAAGTTTGAAAAGTGCGCGTTTCTTTTCTAGAATGCCCATTAAATAATTAAAGTTTGAGCCTCATTTAGCCGAAAGACCGTTTTATTCCATAGAAAAGGTAAAATAGAGACAATAAAATTAAATAGAGGAGGTACAGGACAGATCTACGGTTGAACAGCATCACATTCTTTCACAAGAAAAAATACCGTGGGTGTCTTTAGCATGAAATATTACTTGGAACGGAATATGTTTCGAATAATGCCTAAACGTGGGTTCTCGAACGTAGTATCACAAGATCATTTTAAAATTTTTACATAACAATAAAAATGACGCACGAAGTATGACATTTTGAGCTATAAACACTTTCAGGATAACTTTGTATCAAACGTCAAATAGTTGTGAATGCCACATCATCAGATTAGGCAATAATGATCACTTCCATTTTTGAATTTAATCCGATGCGAAGTTCTTGAAAACGTGTTGGAATGAGATTTAAAAGAGATTGAACTCCACGCTCGAAGAACCAACTACTGTACTACGAGGGGACGTCAGAACTTTACAACATGACGGAAGAAGAAATTCGAGGAAATCGTGTTCTCTGTATTCTCGTTAAGGAGACAGCATAAGGAAAAAATTCAGCAGACATTAGCGGAAGAAATGCTTCATCTCGTTATACGCTTGATCCTTCGCAGGATCGAAAACCAGGATTTGAGTTTTGTATCTCTTATCTGGTTTCAAGTCACACTTTCAGGATCGTACCTGTTTGATCCGATTTCTGCACGAAGTACAATACTGCACCTCATTTTTTTTTTTTTTTACCAAATGTAAATGCAGAATATTTCATCGCAGCGACTTCCTCAACCTAATCTGGGAACTAATTGGTAAATCTAGTCGACCTTCGAGAAGAAGCCTTTGACCTCTCAATGGCCGTCCAGTTCGATTATTTGCCCATTGACTAACAGCATTTGGCCGCGGAAAGAACAAACTGAGCAGAAAGTCCTTCGCTTCAAGAACTTGCCCACCACCTCCAGTCAAGGTGGCTACGCTTTCTCGCGTGATTTCTGAAAAAGCAAGGTAACCTCACCGAAAGAAAAAAAAAATATTGAGAGGTTGCAACATGTGGTCGTGCCCACCATTTTCCCCCGATCGTTTCGTGGGAAAATTTCAGTTCAGCGGTTTGATCGTCTCTCCCACTTGAAAATTTAGCGATTAAAAAAGTATACGCATACCCGTCCAACACGCAAAATAAAAATTCACAACCGAACATTTCCCACGGTCGAAGTTCTTGGAACCGAAAGCCGTTCTTTCGATGCAAACGTGATTTCACACGGCATTATTGAATTAAGAATGAACAACTCAGCGTGCCAAGAAACCAAACGTCAAGTACGGTATTTTCACTCCTGGAGGCTTGACACCAAAAAAGCGCGCGTGTAGTGAAAGAGTGGAACAGTGTGAGCTCCTTTTTCGGATTTAACCTAAACCAAGGGCATATTTTTTTCAAGTCAAGCAGAAAATCCCGACTTTACTTCGAATGTCTGTCAAACCAAGATTAAAATGACTAACATTATACAGGCGGCATTTTTTATTCATTTTTATTCCTTCCAGCAATGAACGAGATGCAAGTACAGTACCACAGGTCATAATACAGTTGAACCTCCTCAACTGCAAACTCTCTTGGTCAACTACCGTACTTCGCCTCCCTATGTCAAAATTTTTTCAAGTTACTGTCGGAATTCCCTTGGAAACAATGCAATAAAAACTTCCCCAACTCCAGGGCTTTCCCCCTTAAACCTCCATAACTCAGATTTCCTTGAGGCCTTTTGGCTATTATTTTCTTGACCAAGGACAGAGAAGAGCAATACAATGTACTGTAACTTCATGCGTTTTAAAATTATGTGAAACTACCGTCATTGGGTAAATAAATCCTTGTTTTCAACTTCAGCATCCCGTCAACTCATTCAAGAAGCACTTTGAGGCCCAGAATATCACCGATTACGATTTCCTGTAATTCTTCTTTCCTTCCCTCAACAAAATTGCTTGCTTCTCTCAACCCAAAACCTCCCTAACTCAATTTTTTGCTGGTTCGTGGACGTTTGACTTGAAGAAGTTCCGACTGTAAAACCTTACCCGAACTTGACACGAAAAAAAGGGACTGACGTTCTTGATACAAGTTAAGAGCATTTGCACCGCAGAATTTCTCCCGGTATTCTTCACGCATCATCGAACAAATTTCGAAAGCAGGAAAGGGGGGGGGGGGATCGCTCAACAGTCATTCTGATCAGGGATTGGTTCGTGTACGGAACCAAAAGGCAATGGTAGTTGTTGGGGACAACAAGTTTATTGTCACCGATCCGAGGATTTTGAAGGAAATATATCAATTTTGAATAACTTACCCCGCAGTAGTACAGCTCGTCCGAGGCAAAAGGAATGAACGAGTCGAGCACGGCGAACGTCACAAAAACGACGATCATAGACCACATGTACACGAAAACATCGCGACGTACGGTCAGCGCGACGAACATTCCGTGACAAAGACGAAGCCACGTTCGCTACAGCTGAAAAGAAATAAAAACGAAAACGAACGTCAACAAACGCGATGATGATTCATATACAGTAAGTTGTTTTGAGTTAAGAATACCGTTAACTCAGATCATGTTTAGCTAGAATTAGATAGGAACAAATCCCTTCCACAATTTAGACAACGGTGAAAAATCTATACAACAAATTTCAGACAACACGTAAATTACCACAAAGTGAAAAAAGAGATCTTTTCAACCAAATAAACTTGGCTTGATCAAATCCGAAACTTCACGCTAATTTCAACCTTACATTGTTCGCTTAGAACATTCAATTATTTTTATACAGACGCCAAATTGGAAAATGTCAAGCACAAATTAAGAATTTAAGCTACATAATATGGACTCCATATGGAATCTACAGTACTTCGAAGAGTATTTCGTAGAAACTTACACAGCTTCGCAAGATCCCACGGCATCATCGCTGAAACGCGCATGAAAAGTGTTCTCCCTTTCCTGGAATCGCACAGAAAACCGCGACATGAGTCATCAAAACTGATTCAACTCAATTTTTTCCTCAACGATGAATTCCATGAATCAATCCACTCAGCGACAAACGACTTTTTTCTTCATCACGAAACTGTCTTATTCAAGTTAGTAAAACCAACGCCGACACATGTCGCAAGTACTTTAACAGCACCCATCTGAAGGCCGTCTTCTTCGTCGTCTTTTTTTGCATCCACAACTCCAGCAGCTGCGTCATACGCTTCCAATTTGAACGTGACTCCGAGGAATTTTTTGATCAAGCGTAGGCACTCGACACTGGGGAATCAAAAGAGTTGAGAGGAAAAGAATCACGGCCACGAACAACAGAAACGGGAGCCCGATTCTCACGCGCAGTACTTTTTCCTAATTTTTTAAACAATATTTCAAGCATAAGTCTAGCAACTCATGTAGTCAGATCATTTGTGCAATGAAATAATAAAAATATTTTTGGACAATAGATTATTACAAGTCTTGTGAATTGGAAACAATGACTATTTTGGGTGGTTTTAACACTTCCAGAAACCAGTATGTGTGAATTGCTTTTTTCTAAATTTCCATTGCATGACCTTTTAAGAAAAAAGTATTCCCAACAAAACGTTTGAACTTTCGTGCATCTTCACATCAGCTGATTCCTTACTCTTCCGAGATTTCTTTAGTCATCTCCTGATCTCGCATAATGAAAAATGGAAAATAATGCAAATTTAATACATTTTTGCTCGTCTGGTATTTTTTAATGAATTGCCCGCAAAAATACTTCAGGCCTTCTGCACCGAAACTTGGACATTTGCGGGCACGAGTTGATATGCAGAACGAACCTGTAGGCAGACAACGGGCCCGTGACGATTTTCGAAACATCAGGGGGCCCCAAAGCCATCATGAGAAATGCCAAGCTTTGAGTCGAAGAGTCAACACAGCCTCCGCGGTAAATTTCCTCAAGCAAATTATATGCAGCTTGTCTTCCAACATCCTCCGGCACTGAAACAGTCGAACTGTCGGTTTCTTCATCTTCTCGACGCGGTGCTCGGCTTCTAGATATCGCCTCAGCAGCCCAGAAACAGCCCGTCGTCGATTCGGCAACGAGATGAACGCCAAATCCTACCGAAGGAGGGGAAGAAGATCGTTACGACACAAGCTGTTTTCTAAAGAAAACATTTTTTTTCTGAGCACACTCGTGATCAATTTGAATAAGTTCTTTCCTTTAGACACGAGTAATCGGAATCAGAAAACTGAGTTTTCCAAATGCTGATGAAGGCAATTCAAAAAAAAAAAAAATTGGGTGGCAGAGGGGATTCAATACGATGAGAAAAACACGGACTAAACAAATCTCTTTTTTTTAACGGGAGTCGGAAACTCGTGTACATCCTCCCCTTTTCTGTTCATTTAATTGCTCATCCAGGGCCTTTAAAGAAAAAAATTAATACCGAGACAGTATGCCACCCACATACGAGGGTTCTAACAAAAGTTCTCGGAGTAGCAATGAAAATGGCCTGCAGTTGACCTGAAACAATTTTTTTCTTTGGGAAAAACATATTCTTTGGCACTTGAAAAAATATCAGCCCTGTTTGACAATTTTTTTTGTATTTTTTTCATAATTCACCCAGGTAGTTTTACTCTCCTCTCAAAAGAAGAGGCGCCCTTTTTTGTTGTAGCCCAGCTTTCCCCTCATAATTTTTTAAATCAACTTGACAAGAATTGCCTCCAGGCCATCCAAAGGCTACAACAAAAAAAGGGCGCCTCGTCTTTTGAGAGGAGAGTAAAACTCTACCAAGGTGAATTATGAAAAAAATTCAAAAAAATTTGTCAAACAGGGCTGATATTTTTTTATGTGCCAAAGAATATGTTTTCCCTAAAGAAAAAATATGTTCCAGGTCAACTAAAAGCCATTTTCATTGGTACTCCGAGAACTTCTGTTAGAACCCTCGTACACTTGACTACAGCTAGCGAACAGCTACGGCGTTACAAAATAACACTTCACCAGAATTCTTCAATGCCTTTGAATTCGAAATATATTAGTGAGCAGTTCGATCATTCAGTCTATCATTGTAAACACTCTCAGACGTCATTTAACCTTAGCGCAGTAAGTCACGAAAAGTGACGCAGGATTACATCACGATTTTCCTCGTCCAGATCCATTGTCAAAGAAAACATGTAACTTTGAGTATGAGAATTCTGCACGTATCAAAAATACACGTCTGCATTTTCGTCGGCGGCGATTCAAAAATCGATACGAAGGAATGTTCGGATTAGACGGAAGTGCAAATTAACATGCTAAAATATCCGGATGAAAAAGGAAACATCAACATAAAGGTTATATCGCGGTCTAACGGGAGATGATCGCCAGCAAACAAGCTCAGGAGAAGTGAGAAAAAGAGAAAATTTCGCAGGTACAGTACTGCGCATGGTTGTGATTTATGGGTTGCTATACATAAAATTAACGAAACGATTAGTCGTCCATTCCCTGAATCAACGACTGCTCGACGAGTTGACTCTTCGAACTAAATCCACGTTTAACGTCTCTGTTATTTCGGTAACCGCCGCAACCACCTTCTAGAATCTCGGCAGGCTGCCGTTGACGATCGTAGTTTGACCATATAAACCGAAAGCTTGAACAGATGCTTTTTCCATGTACCAAAAATGTCGTCGCCCAGGAAAAGAAAGGCCCATCAATGCCATTCACAATCTAGAGTTGGCAATTCGAACGTATCAAGAGAATGTTCAATGAAAAAAATTAAGAAAAACAAATTTTAATATAATCAGGACCTCAGCGAAAAGCTCAACGCATGTCCGCTGCAACCATTCACTCAACTCAGAAATTCATCATTTATTCATGAATTCCATTAATTAATTTATCGTGACCTCGTCAATCACAGAGTTTCCTGAGAAACCTGACACGGAGCAACAAACTGAATTATGCTCTGAACTGTTGTGTCAAACATTTTTCATGAGACAGCTTGGATTCATTAATCATATTTCTTTCCAGAACAGAAAAAGACATTGACACAAATTGCGCAGCAAGAACTCCCCCAATCTTGACAAAAAGAACGAAGTCAGTACTGAATTCGCTTGAAAGGACACACATCGCCCGCATACACAACTTGGCAATAATACTGGTATCAGCGACGGGTCTATCAGCGTGTGAACCCGGGCATCAACAAGTTGATAACCCGTATGTTACCAGGCGCGTGGATGAACGCTTCGAATGCTACTGACGATCATAAATAAATTTTTAAAAACGAAGTACATCACAGGACCCGATTTCATCCGTGAATTTTACCTTTCGACGACGACTCAAAAAAAAAAAAACTCGCAACTGAAAAATTATCTGCAGATCCCGATCGCCCTCAATAGCCTACAACATATTTATGTCTGCTCATCGATCATTGCGGGACAATTCCATGAATAAAATTCCCAAAATTGACAAGGTACAGAGGTTAAGAATTTAGTCCAGCGACGTATTTTTTGATTTTACTATCACTCGAATAATAAGTGCGGTATATTCAGAAATAAACAATACAGGAGAACGCCTGGTCTCCAAAAAAAATTGAAGAACTATCTAAGTTTTTCGAAATTTGCTCTCACGACGGTTATATCATTTCTTTTGTTGGTGTACTGAAAAATTAGACGGAAGTTAATTCCATTAGATTAGCCGTGATTTTCAATCAACTGGACCATAGCACCCGGCAATAAATTCGCGTAATAGAAGTTTCACAGCAATTTGAAAGAAGAACATTGGTAAAACATACAAATTATTGTATTACACAATAATTTACCTGGTGACTTCCCAGATTTGGGCCCACGAGAGTGATCCGTATTAATGTATACGTCGGGTAAAAATTTGAGAAGTTCGCCTTTGGCAACATCAACTACGCGATTAGCGAGAGCAGGTGAAACCCGCAACGCGTACGCGACTCCACGAACTCTTTTAACCTTTCCTTGATCCTTTATCTGTAGAAAATTCAAGAGTCATATCAATGAGCCATAAAATAGTGACAACACGAGCAACAGACCTGAACAGGCTTCAAGGCCCGGCAAACAGGACAGCTGAACACGATTTCTCCACCGCCCAAGGGCGGCACTCCTCGCGCAACGAAGCTGATAGAAAGATCTTCGTCGTCTGGTAAAAATCGGCTCATGACAGGTAAACTGCACTTCTTCAGGGTATCAACTGAAACGTCGATCTGAAATGATAAAATGCACGTTCACACAATCATACGTTCCAGTTCAATCCGCGGAGAAAAAAAACAGCCGAAGCTTCCCTCGAGAATTAGATCATCATATTTTATGTTTGTCACAAAATTTAAAAGTCTCATTCACCTGGTTGCTCACGACTCCAGTAAAGCGAATCTTCATCGGCTTTTTCGCGAAAGGCGCAAGGATAAGCAGGGGCTCGAGATAATATGAAATTCCCCGTTGATTGTTGCAATCGTGATCAAACGAGCCTCCTATGAGAACACCAGGCTTGAACATCAGGGACGTACCCGTTTCACTTATCTCCAACTTGCTGCCATTCGTGATCTTATCCAGGAGTCGTAAGAAGTTGGCTTCGTAAGCTGTTGAAATAAAACGGAGATTTGACTAAAGCATTCTTGATACCACGATAATTTTGGAGAATGAAAACTTACGCCGCAAACCCGGACTGTCATCGCCGACTCTGATTTCCTTGATTTGAACGGGTTTCGTCGTCAGCGTAGACAAGACCAAACGAAGGCGAAGGTAATTTGAACCTTCAAATACTAAAAATATACCCTTCTTCAGACCTTGCTCGACTATTACTGGTGGTTTCGCGACAGGTGTTTCCGGTTTAATCGAAACATTTCCGCCGAAACCAAAGAAGCCTTCGGCAGGCATTTTTTCCTAAAATACTGAAGAGGTCCGAAATATGAGAAACTTGAGACAATAACACCTAAAACCGTAAACAAAAGGGTAACGGACGCATTTTTGTCCACTTCATTCATCAACTTTTATTGCGTTGGATTCGTACAGTTCGTTGCTCATCTTGCGTTTCGCAGGGGCAACGTACGAGCCTAGTCCTCCAGCCCGCTCAGATTCTGCAATCGAGTACGGCTCAATTTCCAAAGCTTTCATCCGACGCTTGTGCACCTTGGATCGCAAGTGGTGCTGCAATGTGAACTCGTCCACAAAATGCCGCCTACGAAAGGTTATGAAGCAACTTCAGTTGATATGCAAAAGAACTGAAACATCGAAGAACAACTCCGAACTAGGTGTTTTTTTTTATGATGACGATTTCAGTTTTTCAATCCAACACGGAGGTTCTGGCTGCGCTAACCACATCGTGCACGAATATGAAGTTATAAAATTCAACGATAGGAACTCCTCAATTAACAAAAAATTGTCAACGACGGAAAATGTCTGATATACTCACGCGCAGTGAACGCAGTAGTGCTGTCCACCTCCAGGTAGGTCGTCATCTACGGGCATATTCCGGAGTTGCTTTGCCTTGCTGGGCTTGAGATCCTCGTCGATCTGAAAAAAAAAGTTTGATTCAAGCTAGAAAATTGAATAATCCTTCCTTTACCTCATCCAAATCTCTCTTCCTTCGTTTAGTTTTGAATGCTTTGCCCGCAGAACCACCCGATCGACTCCGATGCTGCTGAGTCCGCTTCGGCGGCATTTTCCTTGAAAAGGGGAAGGGACAAAAAAATTAGGGTTAAATCCGCTATTTTGATTCTTCCCTTAAGGCGCCAGCACGAAAAAGAATACTGATCTTGGAAATGTGTGGAAGTGAAAAAAACATATTTCTCAACAAATTAAAATACTACTACATAATTAACGAGATGCATTTCAAAATTCCGTGCAAGCGACTTAAAAATGAAAGAAATTCGTAGCGGGAACACCGCACGAAGTTGAAAAAACGTCCCACTTGAACCCTTATATATTTCCCTCGGAATGGTTGCTTTACTTCACAAACACCACATGGTCTTTATAAGACGGGTGGGTTGACGGGGACGAATACGACCCGATCCGGCAAGAGCAAAAACCCAAAACTGGTCAAATATATCACATGGAACACAACATAACAATCGCCAATCACCCGCCAACAACCCGAATCGAATGCTTGATTCCCGAATAAGTGGAGAGCAAATTGTAGCGGACACGCGAAACCCGCCGGTGGCAGTCAAACCCGCAGCCGCCTTTATCATCCGACGGAGTGGGAAAAATCGCTGAGAAAGGTTGAAAAATGCGCATCCCCCGCCATGAAAACACGCGCTCGAATAAATTAAGGGATCACGTGTGGATTGCAACTTGAAAAATGTTGATAAGGCCAAATAACTGTAGATCAATCTTTTTTCGTGTTCTTCATTCCATACGTTGAAGCTTTCTCCATCCGTGTGAGATTTTTCATCTTGTTCAATCCAAAAGCGGCTACGGACAACAACAAAAAATTAAGCAAAAGTATCAGCAGTGATAATTCCATGCTTCTTCGATTTCAAAGCAATGCAACTATGCAAGGGCAGTCTGATTTCCGCGAAAGATCAGATTTCATTTTTTTTATAACATTTACTTTGAAGTAGGACGGTTCAGAGCGTCATATTCTCAAGGTTCTTCTGGAAAATGAACGAACTCAACAATTTCTCCGCAACATTTTCAATCAACCCGATTTTGCTACCATTTAAGACAGAAGCAGCACACATCGGCCATCCGTGCATCACCCTGTATCCCTTCCATCTACCAAGGGTGCTTTTGGTGTCGTTGATTTTTTCGGATTCCATTTCCTTCATTTAAGAACAACCATTTAAGAACAACGGATACATCTCAAGAATGTATCCGTTACTTTCTTCGTTGATTTCAAAAAATCGTCAATTAAGAACTGAAGGGTCAGAAATTAAAATGTTAAATTTGAAATACATAAGTTGCATCATAAGAATTTTTAGAATGCTTCATTTCTTAAATCAGAAGAAATGAAAAATGTGTTGTTCATACATATAGTGAAAACGTCGAACAAGATTGGGAGAAAACCCGCTTTAAGATAAACTTTCTCAATTGCTAATAGGTTTTTCTGAATTGCGGATGGAAATCAGACACACCTCACTGACATTTGGCCGAAGTTTCAAACTCACCAAATGCAATAACAGCAATGAAGACCGAAGGCATCATGTAAGATCCGGTCAGAATGCTGGATAAGATTGCTTTTAGAATATAACCGTGCACAATTATAAGCCAAATGCTGACGTTGACGAACGGCCAAATCCGCTTTCCCAGAGGCCTCACGAAAACTCCGCGTTTCGCTTTCTCCTCGGGTGGGAAGAACTCGTTTGTTCGCATGTAGTGATCAAACATTTCATCCTAAATTAGGAAGAACAAATATATATTGAAATGCTTCGCCGACGCCAGAAGAGAAAAGTATTCACTACATACACCAAATCAGTTTCATCAAGAACGGTTCATGAACAGCATTTGAGAATACCTTCCGTTTGAAGAGGTCTATCATCCACTGGTTGATTCCTTCATCGGAGGTCGGGATATCCTTCACTTCCAAGCGCTCCATGAAAAGATCACAGAGTAAAGGTTCTCCTTTCAGCAAAGTCGACAAGGATATTTTATCACGACAGGAACTATCAAATCCAAGCTGAACGTTGTAAATGACTTTTATCTTGTCCTGCGAAAAAACTTGTTCAAGTTCAGGATACGAAAAAATCACGCACAAGTAGGCACCTGGCAATTTTTTCGCAAAAAGGAGAATCCTTTCGTCCGTGGAACGAGATGATGTTTGAACTCTGGCAATCCCTTCGATTTGGCGAATTCAATGGCATTGGCATGTTTCTGAGTGGTGAACCTAGTACCTTCAGGGTAAATTAGCAGCTGAAACAGAGAAAGTGAGCATCGGATTTGACCACATTTGCTCTATATCTTCAAAGGCAATTTTAAATTTTTCGATGAATGACTCCGCATTTGAACCTTTTTCGGTAGAGGAATGAAGCATTTTAGCGAGTTTCAGAACACAAAATTTACCCAAAAAGGATCTGGCCATTCCAACAAGGTACTGAATTGTCGCTCGAGAACTACTTGATCCCGATTCCAGTCACGTTCGAGGAACAAGACTTCCGCAAAATACCACGTCCAGCCAATGATTGGCGCAAACTTCAGAGCTTTTTTGGCCAGAACTTTGGCATTTCCCAAGATCGTCACATGATCACACACGACCCACGACATTATACCGTCGATCTCATACGTGTGATTCATGAGGATGAAAGCTCGCTCTTTACCGACGGAGTCGTGAAGTATTTTGTCTCCATGCAACCTCACTATAGTTCCGCTCCACCACTCGATCAAAAACGTAACTTCTGTAAAATAAAAATAGAACGTTGAGAAAATCCAATCCTGTCCCTGAACACCTGAATGTTCAACTTACGACACCATACTGCGTAGCAAAGGTAACAATTGATCTTCCGGAAGGCGCTCAGGCTCACTCGACGTAAAGTAAGCCACAAGAATAGTTGCACAGAATTTATAATGAATCCGGAGACAAAAAATGCTATGGCCAGCAAAATGTGGATAACGGTGAGCTGCTTAAAGCTCCATGAACCTTTTTGCTGGTCCATCAGATCAACCTTGAAATTGAAAAAGCATGCACATAAAGAGTCAAAAAAGGCCTGACGAATGAATGTGAAGAAGGAATGCGAACAGAAAAGCACGTAGAAGTTTCTGAATTTGATCAAATGCGCTGAAAGTCAACATTGAGAAACACTCGAAATTTATCACAAAAGTAGCGCGTCTACTCGATTAAATAAACACGCCAATTACTTTTTGACCCGTGGAAGCGTCAAAATTCGATTTCTAAATTGTGCTAAACCCCAAACACGAGTGAGAAGTTGACGTGAAACTGGGCTCGTAAGCATTTGATCCCCTGACGGATGGATTCACGGTTTCTGCTCCCGCGCCGATCACAAGACTGGCTTTCGAGTGAACTGACAAGAATCAAATGCAAGTAGCCAAGCTATCACGTTTCATTTGCTTCAGCACCATCATGGGTCTCTGCCAGCCTCTCCGAGCTGGGCGTAACAACCGGTTTTGATCCGTACGACGACCCGTCCCGAATGCTTGTTAGACGCATCATTCGGTTCAAACCGTACGCAGCTGTAACCCAACAGTAAATCAAGCCTTTGAGAACACTGTAAAGCGTACTTTCTAAGAGATGCATTTTGAAATCGGAACAAGGGGAACCATAAAGAGCATGCAAACCAAAGATGCGAAAGAAATATACAGGATTCTGGCCCAGTCAGAGTAGGACTCATGTAATGAACAGTACATTACACCGTTTAAGAATATTTTAAAGTGAATATGAGCGTTAGAAACCGGGAGGGAATCCTTTGCGTGAAAGCAAGATTATTGATTCCACGTCTATGTTTTCCAGAAATATTTTGTTTGATCTAATAATGCTTCTGTGATAGGGAAAGCGCGTTTACATACAGGGTGGCCAAATGATGATGCTCTACGGAGGTGTGACGCACGAAGTCACAGCTTCTCCCCTTGTATTGACTTGCGACATACCACCAAGGTCTGACGACACGACTGTCCACACATCGTGGAAGTAATACATCGGGTACAAATGACTTCATTCTAGATTATCGTCAACTTGAATAGGAAATCGCTCAACGGACAAAAACTGTTGATCTAATGGAGGCCAAAAAGTTTTTCTGGAGAGCGACGAAGCTAAAACCGCGGCGTTTAAAATAAAAAGGTGATGAGTACCAACATGGGATACCGAATAAATATGCATGGCTAAATCTTCAAAACTCACCGACGAAGATCACTCCAACAAAAATCCCCGGCAAAACGTACGATCCACCGAGGAGGCTAGTATACAGGGCTCTACCTATGTAGGAGTGAACCAAGGCAAAGGCAGTAATCGTTATGAGAAGCGAAGACCAAGTTGGCTCCATCTTCACTTCCACAATGCCCTGCTTTTTCTTTTCTTCTTCGGGAAGAAACCGTCCGTGCTTCCTGAAGTATGAAAACAGTTCGTCCTTTTCCTTGAAGCGATCCAGGAGCCAGTTTTTAGCACCTTCTTCTTCCATGGGAACATCATCAATGCAATAGTGCTTCATGAAGACCCGACAAATGGAAGGCTCTCCGCGGAGGACGGAGGATAGATTTACACGCCGTCCGGAAGACTCTTCGTCAAACACCATGAGGATGTCATAAATATCTTTAACTTGTCTGCTTATTCGTTGGCGAAGAAACACGAATCCTTTCGTTCTGGGCATCAATAAATTCTCCAAAATTGGCAGATCTTTTGAGCGAGCAAATTCCAAGGAGGCGGCATGTTTAGAGGGTGTGAATCGTGTTCCTTCCGGATATAGCAACAACTGCAAGAAAAATGCGTAACCAATTAAAAAATAAAGAACTACGGCCCCAAACGACGATGAATTTGCAGGCATTTGAAGGTATACAAAAGGCACCTCACAGCTGAGAAATTAAGGAAATACTGTACTTTAAATACCTTACAGTATACCGGAGGGATTATTTCGCAGACTTGAAAAAAATCAACGAACGATCTAGTATTGTACCTTCACACGGCTGTAAATAAAAACATTACTCGCAATTGCATTAAGAAAACATTATTTTTTGAAGCGGATGAGACTAACTCATACGATTAGGTACACTATATTTTTTCAGCGAGTGAAACGCTACTCTAGACCAGCGTTCTGAGGTAAAGGATTCATCGTCGGCACTCAAGACAATCTTTGGAAAAGTGAGTGCGAAGTGAAAAGATATTAGCACTCACCCAGAACGGTTCAGGCCAGTTACAAACAGACTCAATGTGATCATCCAGCACCGCACGATCTCTCGACCAATCACGCTCCATGAAGAAGATCTCAGCAAAAAACCACGTCCACCCGATAATGGGTACGAACAAAAGCTCTTTCTTAGCTAGCACCTTAGCATTCCCAAGCAAGCTGTAGTTGTCCGCAATGGCCCACGCAACCTGGCCATCGATCTCGTAAGAATGATTCATCATGATCAAACCTTTTCTGTGACCAACAATATCGTGCACCCATTGCTGTGATTCCAAGATGATTGTCGTGTCGGACCACCATTCGATTATGAATGCAACTTCTGAAAAGATGGAACACGATGAAAAGGCGGTACTATAGATGTATAGACAAATAATGAACTTACGGCTCCACACAGCATAGTTTAGATGCTTGTTGACGATCCTAAAAGTGTCCAAACTAAGCGGCCGAAGAGTGAGCCAAAGAAGAAGTTGACAAATGTTGACAATGACGCCGGAGACAAAAAAAGAAATGAAGAGCAAAATGTGGCATAGAGTAAAGCGCTTTAAACCGGCCACTAAACCGGACCGCGGGCGAAGGACTTTGGAAGCTTTCTTAGGCACGGGACGAATATAGCAAGACGGGTTGGTGTCGTCCATTTAGCTATCACATCTGAGGCAATCACACAAAACCGTCACTTCTGATCTTCAACTTTGAAGAAAAAAAGACATTTTGTCAAGATGTAAAAATTTTGTACAGGAAATTAAACGCCGCTTCCCTGTTGACGGAAAAAAACTGACTTAGCATCACATCACCGGAGTTTTTCTTTAAATTGACCCAAGCGTTTTGCGACGTAAAAAAGAAAATTTTCCATTTAATACGATCAATGAACTTGAGTGACGCACTTGGAAGGCAACTGAGAGTTCAATCGTTGATTTTTTTTCTCAACAAATACAATACATTATATTTCCTATTTGCCGGTGGAGAGAGATTAACACATACCACCCAAAACTGCAGACCAACGCGAGCAACGATGGCCATTTTTACTCAGCGCACTACCGGAATTCACATTCACATTGCCACTGGATACGAGGTTTCACAGGCCCTGGGGAAAAGAATCGATCTTATAAATATAGAAACTGACTACTGTAATAGCACACAAGAGGAAACGATGCCAGCAAAAGTTTCTGAAAAGGTTTCATGGCCATTACGCGGAAGTCACATGAAAGGAAAACAGAATTTCACTCGAAATTAGTTACGGCTTTTGACAACCTCTACCGCAGACCGATGAAAACTGAACTAAAAAGCAGAAACACGCAAGATTCGACCTTCCAGTTGGAGGGAATATAAATGAGCATATGAACGACATTGCTTTCAAGATCACCACTTTTTGAACTCCATGCCATCGGGAGGCTTCACGTCGGTCTTCTTCTCTTTTATGTCATTCCAATTGGTGCTGAGCACCGTTCCGCCAGATTCGACCTACGAAATAATGCATTAGAAAATTGTTCCCAGAGTTCTAAATTGAGTAGTGGACTGGCTTACATAAGATTTATTCATAGCTCTCTTAGCCTCATCGCTTGCTCCGGCGTAAATGTCGGCAAAAACTTTCTGCAAAGCTGCGTCTCCTTCCAATTTTTCTTCAGCTTCTTCCTTTTTCACTTCTTGTTCCAAAGCATCCCAATTATGATGGCACTTGGCAGAAGTCGGATAACTTGGGCGAACGTCGGCTAGCCTTTGTTGAACTGAGATAAAGTTTAGTAACTCAAGAAACATTTTGTTGAAATTCCCTTCTGAACCTCACCATCTGCAGGATTAGCTTCCAATTTATCCCAGCGAACACCTTCTGTCTTTTTCAAAGTAACCTCAACCTATACAACGAAAATTGTGTGAACTTCACAAACTCAAGAGTGAATGCAAAAATTTCCGACCAAATCCGAAATGTAGACGAACCTTTGAAGGAGTAACTTTGAAAGATGTCTCCACGCTTTTGATTGGGTGCAGAAGATCGATTTCCACGCGTTTCGTCTCATCGGGATACTTCAGCTCTAAAACAAGCTGGGGAAGAAACCAATGCAAAAGTAGAAAACGGAAAATTCAGGGAAATACCAACAGTATGCGTGGTTGCGTCAACGTTGACCAAGTCTTTGGTCAGCCCTTTAGCAAGAACACTGACAATCACAGTCGCGTCAGTCTGATACCATTCGTGGCGGATTTTAGAAGGTGCTTTCACGGCTTCAGCTGCAGAGGCAGTAGAAGCAGCCATTTTTTCAACCTCCTCAGATTCCGTTTTTTTGCGCAAAGCCTCTTCTTCGACCGCAAGAAGCCGGAGTTTCTGACTTTCAATGCGAGCTAGTTTTTCTTCACTAAGTCGAATATACTCAAAAACTTTCAAATCGGAATCCAAAACTTCTGCAAATCAAATATCGAATGTGTAATACGATAACAGAAATTGCAGGAATAGAGAACACAACAATGAATAAATTACCCTTTCGCTGGCTCAGTTCGACAAATATATCTCGAGCTTCCTTGATTTGATGACAGGACAGCAAGACCCGAGCTTTGAAATGTAGGGCGCGTGTATGGTCTGGTAACTCTTCCAGAAGATAATTCACGTCATTCAACGCCTCTACGAAACAAGAAAGAAAACTAATTAAATAAGAATTCACCATGATAACGAGCTCAATTGAAAAACTCACCGACGTATCTTTCGATCTTGTAAAAGCACTCCGCTCGCTTCAGCAGTAAATTTGGTCGCAATTCTGTTCCTTCGAGTAATATTAGCGTAAGTTGCTAGAAAAATCAATGAACAGTCGACATTATTCATTCTTCAAGCGTCAGACAAAAGAAATAAACTCACTTCAATAGCTACGCCGTAATCTTCATCCGCAAAGGCATCTAGTGCAGCTCTAAGGATTAAAAGAAGTAAAAACAATCGAAATCTGGCAAAACTGGGTCAATTATAAATCACTTACGCTGCAAGCTCGTATTCTAAAGAAGGATCATTATAATTACACATTTCACAATTTCGACATGGCGACCTTCTGCGAGATTTTATTTGACCTGTAAAAAATTCATAAGATTTCATGATAACATCTCATTTCCAGACTACTACTTGGAAAAATGAAACAAAATGTGAGCTCATCGGAACGGCACTCGTTCACATAATATAAAAAAACGAGTACAGTGAGTGAACAACAGTTGACAGTCGGGCGACTTGAGACAAATCAGACGAAGCAGGAGGGCCATCGAACAGAAGACATGAGATACAAATAATACTTCGCTAAGCACCCGGGAAAAAGAGAACATCGAGGGAATTCGCTGAGACATACGCTAATCGATCGAAACAATATCTCCATCACTGCTGCCATCACTTGCAACTTTCACCTTCTTTGCAACAGGCTCATCAATGATGCCATCTTGCGAGAGTCCGCGTTTCTTCGTCTCCGAGACATCCAACGGTACTTCTTTGATGGCGTCAGCGTCGTCGTCATCGTCCATGCCATAGATCTTTTCTCCCGCATACGTTAGCTCTTCCTCGTCAATTTCAATGGCTAGAAATTAAATGAACAGGTTGATGGGGTTCGATGAAACATACAAGGAATGATTGTGCCTAAATAGGCGAAACAGGGGGATATTCGAACGGAGGCAACATATCAAAAACAGCAGCAGAATAATTAATTGCACTGTACTCGAGACATAAATTAGTGCTTTGCGTGATTTCAACACGACACCTGCTTCATGTTCAGCAATTATCAATGCTATGAATCAAAGGGGTTGTTTACTCAAGTATTGAACCAGAAAGTCGTTTATTTTGCAGCAGTTTTTCGTCGGACAAGCTTTCTTTAAATACCTTCACTGGTACTGACGACCAATTCAGCCTTCCCATCAGCCAAATCCGTCTTCCGGCTTTCCTCGAAGGTAGCTAGCGCGTCCTTGCCGATGACCTGGAACTCTTCACCATTTTCAAGCGGTTCCTCTCTAAAAAAAATCAACATTTACGGGAAAAATTCATACGAATGTTACATATTTCACGCAGTATAAAAATGTAGCAACGTAAATCTCCAAACACAAGTTCATATGCCGATTACTCACACGTCCAATATGCAAACAACAAGCGAGTAGTCTTGCAAGAAATCATCGCAGCTCAGCTCTGTGCCGTCCCGGATTTGAAAATCCTAAGTGAGCGTAAAAACTTACATCAACGAAGCCGTCAAAAGGTTGAAGTAGTCCACCGACTTACTGCAAGAGTTCTGTTCGTCGTATCGATTTCTCCTTCTTCAGAAGAAATCAAAATGACTCCATTGTTGACTTGAACATCCGGAGCAATCATGTGCAGCGACTCCTTTAAAACTTTCTCTTCCAGGCTTTTAACCAAAAATTTTTTCGCATTGACACGCAAAAACACCTGTTAAACAATTAAAATGAACGCAAGAACCTTTCCAGAAGATGAAAAGCAGCGTGAAAGAAAATAAAATCACCTGCGGCCTCGGTGAACACGCCGGACAATTTGGATTCGGCTTTTCGAGTCGGCTCGTCATGATCAAGCGTCGCAACAACTCGTTCGGATTCTTTCTCACAACCATCTACAATAATTGGTAGAATGGCAGGATTACTGATCGTGAAATATGGTCTGAGGGACAACAAAAAATTGTATGCTACGATCCCGAAGTCCAATTAATTAGCAAAAATTGGAAATTGGAGTACTGCATTATAAACTGGAAGTGAGGGTAAGCGTTGAAACCCGAAAAATGGAAAATCGGTCAAGTAGGATACGAATGATTGTCGCATTACATCAAAATGAACACGCACCAGTTTGCAATCTTCAATTTTGTTCCGCAGAATTTTGAAAGCTTCCACTACCATTCCACCAGCCACGATGGCATTCGTGGTGGCTATCGCTGGAATGATGTTTCCCGCCATGGACTTGACGTCGAAACGCGTCTTTCGAGGAATGCCGAACACTGCGGCTCGAATATTTGAGCAAGCAGTGACGAAGTCCAAGCTAGGGCAGTCATCCTTGTCCCAAGTCAGATCATCTTTTTCTGCTCTCACCTTCAGAATCCCAACTGCCTCGCTGAAGTGAATGAAACAGTCTTGTAGAGACCACATCTTGAGATCTTCCAGCTTATCGGACGATGAATCTGTGCTACATCCGGCCTCTGTAAAAAATAATAAAGTAATTAACTTTCGCTTCGAAATTTTATTGATTTTTTCAAGAACGCGACTTCCTACATGTTCCAAAATTTTAAATGCCGAAAATCGAAGATGCTTTTATGGGGATAGGCTTTATTCAGAGGTGAACGGAGCAACAACGTGTAAGAATCCCAATCAACATTTTCGCGAACTAGATGAGTAGCAATTTTATACTTCAGTAGAGAAAGATTTGTGTTTTGGCGAGACATATGTTTACAGGAGAGCCTGAAAATAGTGCTGATTTTTATTCCATTACAAATTTCTTTTATTGGATGGACCATGTCATTTCAATGAAGGCTCCAAAGACCCTCATCCAGGACTGAGGCAATCACTCAATACTTTTGTAAAAGAAAACCTAACTTCAAAACCATCCTCCGTGTCTAACAATATTTTATAACAACTTAGGTACTGCAATTCAGCTTCACCCTCGAATGTTTTCAAGGAACTAAAAAATTTCAGATTTAAAAAATAGTAGTCATAAAAGACACGAACCCTCATCAAGCTTTTCGCAGTCGAGGGGAGTCGGCGGACGACGCTTCTCCCAAAGCTTTTTCATTGAAAGAAGATACTGAATATCTGAGTGGAAGAACTTCATGAAAAGTTTCTTCGGGTCATATCCAATCTCTTTCGCCCAAGCCTTAGTAGAAACACGTGGGCCTGAGGTAGTATTTTCAGCTCCGTTGTTATTTAACGCTCGCTCACCCGCACTTCCGCCAAGTTCGGGATCATCCATATCAGGAGAAACTTCATTTTCGTCATCCTCCTCGCCAAATAACTGGCTGCAAACAGAAATACAATTACGAAAAGCTAGTGGATTGTGTACAGCGCGAGATTCCTGAACCACACTAACCTGAAAAGATGTTTCGCCCACACGATGCAATGGATAGGCTCTGAAGGCGTATTACGGATTGTGCAATTGGGAAAAGTCTTGGTGCGAGACGGTGGTTGACACTCGAAGCACTCGAACAGCCCCTTCTTGATCACCTTGACTTGCCCAAAATAACCAGCAGTGCCGCTCTCGATGAGTGGAATTTCAGCAGACAAGCACAAGCGATTCACATGGGTCCGGGCAGCGTTATTATCCAATGCATTCATAACCAGCGTGAATTGCTTGAAGTAAGTCACGCCGAATTCGGGACTGCAGATGATCACAACAGATAAGTGAACTAAAGCTATCCTTTGAATAGCAGATGTTCGCGAACTTAGACGACCTTACCTCATTATGCTGCCATGAACACTTTCGATTGTTGCATCAGGATCAAATGCAAGTGCTGACTCTCGAGCGACTTTCGCTTTTGACTGAGACACGTGCTGTTTTTGAAACAAGAATTGACGGTTCAGATTGCTGACATCGATTGTATCCAGGTCCACCTAAAATAAGTAGAACGTTATATCAGAGTGCCATCGACAAAGATAGCAGCCTTGGCTCAAGCATACCACAACTATGTCCCGAAAACCCGATAAGACGAGATTCTTCAGAAGTTCACAGCCAATCCCTCCAGCTCCAACAACAAGGACCTTGCTTTTCGCGACTGCATCTGCGAGATCGGCCTTTCCAGTGACGGCTAGTGGATGCACTTTCATTTCTACCATATTATTCTAACTTCTTTCCCGACACTGCTAAATTAAATCTTGTTTGCGAAGGTAACAACAAACCTGTTATACAGTAACAGAACAATCAAGGCATATAGCGTCTCTTATCAAAACAAAAATACTTCGTTAAAATAAAACCGTAGGAACCAGATTACACACGCTTGTTATCAGCACGTGGAAACCAAAATTTTCAGAATCTCACACGAACACACCAGCCCGCTTCGAACAACTCACTCAACAATAATTCCACAATGTCTTTCTTTTTTTCAGAGGCGAACTGTCAAATGAGGAGTCTTCCTCCTAACTGAATCACGTATCATAAATTGAAAGGAATATCACAGCCCCAGCGGAAATCGAAATAATTTATTGCCAGCTTTCATCCGGATCTCTGGCACGTCCATCGGAATGGACAATTCGTTTTCGACAGCCAGACTGGCAGTGCTGAAGTGTTTTATCAGTTCAGGCAGAACATCGTTCACGAGTTGATCCCTCCGGTCGCCCAAACACCACGCGAAGCTCGCGTGGAATCGCTGCTCCTGAAAGAAAACCAGAACCACGAGTCCCGCCCGGAAATGAGAATCCGAAAGCTTGAGAAAGGCTTTCAGGTCAAACCCACACTGTAAAACGCTGGCAAGTCAAAGCTCCGAAACAAGTCGTCAACTTCGCCCACCAACTTCGAGCATTGCTCGAATCCACAGTCAACCATCAGAGAGAGAAAAGTTCGGGTCCTTTCATCATTGACGAAAACGTCCACGCCGGAAAAAGAAACAGCGAACCTGTTGAAAATGAATGTTACATATATTGTAGATTGTTGTCGAAAATTGAGGCTTAAAATTTAATGATACGGTATCTGATGCAAAACTATGACTGGTGTCTGATTTCTGCGTGCGCAGTTCGAAAAACTTTCAGAAGACGAAAGTATTTACAAGGGCCATCTTGGATTTGATTTTCGACCTGCCGTTTCAAAATAAGCAGCCCTTGTTATGAATAGTACATTTCTCAATTCTAGCCAGAAAAAACTAAGGCATTTCAAAATTACTGAGGTACTACTTCCAGCTTTGCCACTTCTGATTTCTAAACCTTCAAAACATTTGCAAACAATGGAGAAATTTTGACTGAGTATCAGCCTATTCGATTCAGTGAAACCAATTTTTCATCCCCTAATTTCTATGACGGAGCATGTCTTGAAATTAATTTCTGTAACGGAACCCCTTCGATCAGTGAAATTCCCTTCAAATTGTTTTCATTAAGAGCTTCTGTAAGTGAAAACAATTTTTTTCTTCTCCTTGTATCACAAATATAGCTATGGCCCTTTTTCGTGCGCTGCGCTGCTTGATTTTCAACCGCCGTTAAATTTACTTCGCATCTCCCTGGAGCGCCTGAAAAGAGGACACAGTTCTTTGGGCTCCACGGGGCACATGTTAATAATTTCAATGTGAATCGGAGGTAGAATGGGGTGATGCACAGGCGGTCTACGTTCTTTCTTCCGTGACGGTAGCACACTAGGGAGAGTGCACATTCGTACAGCACTTAAATTCGGAAACAGTTCTTCTGAATGATCCGATCCCCGGTCTAAAAAACTTTAAATATTGGGGAAAGAAGTTGAAAACTAGACTGCGTCGGGAAACATTCTCCTTAAATGCAGCTACAGATCAAGGACATTCATCTTCAGATTTTCAAGCGTAATAGCACCAAGGAAATGATCTCCTTTCCTTTCCTTTAAGAAGGGATAGGAAGAAGACGAGAGCCAGCGAGGCATTCATTCGCATTACGGGTCGTCTTCCGGAGAAACGATAAGGAAGCAGGGTCCACAGGTTTCATCGGAAGGAACAGAAAACAAAGAAAAAACACGCAGGCAACACCCCGCTGAATCCCCCAATTTCCTACGTATCTCCAGCACACACGTCGTCATCGCTTCGGATGCCCAAAACGAGTTAACAATAAATCCCCTTCCTGTCAAGAGAATCCTTTGAAGAAGCTGCAAACTCCGCCGGCAATTTTCCCGGCATCATTAATCCCGAACCCGTGACACACAGAATTCAAACACACAAGCAGAATGAAAGGAACGAGAGTCTCACTTTCGCGAATTGTCGCAAACTTTCCGCAATCTCCCTTCAAAGTCCGGTATCCAATGATGGCGAATAGAGACAGTTCGAGATAAACTGATGTGCAAGTCAGAAAGCGGAAATGTCCTCAAATCCTGCCCTTCGCCGAGAACTTGCAAGAGCGAGTCCATCACCAGGCTTACGTCAACTTTGAACAGAAAACAAATTCGTTCACGGGAGATAGGTAAACCACTATTTCCCGGTGCCCTCCATATAGAAGTCGTTTCACAAATACAGTAGTAGTTCGATTTCCTCGACCATAACGAAAAGGTAGACCATCCCTGTTCTGTCTCAGAATATCTCGGAAATAGGTAATTATTCAGTGTCACTTCAGAAAGAACATTTGTGCATTACTAAAACCGAAGTAAAAACTGCACATCTAACTCGATTGCATTGAACAATAAGAGGCATTTTTGACGGAAGCAAACCTTTGAAGAGAACCAACTGGAAGCATTAACAGAAGACTGTACAGTATATTTCTGGACAATCCCTTATAAAAAAATTATTCGGGCTACAAAATCCAGCATTCGATAACAGAAAAGATACACACGCAAAAAAAAACCGATAATGCAAAAAATGCGTCATCAACTCCATCAGAAAACTGCAACTCGTTGCACAGAAACCACAAAAACCTACAACTCATTTCAGCACAAGCAACACAAACAACTTTCGTAAAAAATCGGGTTCAGGATGGTGGAACAAAAAATAATTTTAAAAATTCTGATTTCGAAGAGCAATTAGCAGATTGCCGTCAGTAGGAGTTCCAGTTTAGAACTTCCTCTCGCGTCAAAATCAGTACTGTCTACTGCACTGCTTTCTCTCATAAAATGAACTCAGGCTCCGAAACTTGTTCGGAAATTCTTCTTTACATTCAATTGAGAAATGCTAGCCACAAAGATCACGTGGTAAGTTACATGAAAATTAATGCTTCACCTCGGATATTATGCAGGCATATAATTAGTAATGAACTACTTTTCTGCGTAACTCCGTCCGTCTTGCAGGAAAAAAAGACAAGTTATCAATACATCGCGGAAGACAACTGAAGAAATGTGTGCTTTTGGAATTCAAAGCGCATATTCGCAGCATGTAAATCTGATATTCTTGTCATTTCGAAACAATGAAAAAGTATACATGGTAATACAGTAAAATAAATTACGGTATTATAAAAGCAGCAAAATCGACGAAACGCTTATAACCATACACCATGCAATCACAAATAACAAAGTCATCCATTCAGATAATTATTAAATCCTTGCAAGAACCTCCTGGGAGAGCAAGTAGTTCACCGTATCAGAATGACACTACAGTTCTCCGGATTATGGGACGCAGTCCAACTTTTCAAATGTTGTTCATGATCACAACCGTATTTCAAAAATTTGATAACGAAAATAATGTTAACCTCATGGGATCCCACGCAAGATCGCACAACGTGCTTCTCAATGACAATATTTCATATTTGGAAACAGGCAGCAGAGAGTCTGAAATGCGCAGAACTCGATAGCAAAAATTCTGCTCTTTGTTGGTTCAGTAATTTAATGAGCTTGGAATCCAAAGAAGAAAAGAAGTAAAAGAAGTATTCGGAGAATCCACTTCTGATCTTCGAGAAAATTAATCTCGTGAAAGTGCGTCATTATTCTCAGGCAAAATCCTCGAAATTTTCGAGACACAATAAAGGAGTTTTCAATAGAAATCGGGATTCCATCTCTTCCGTCCTCGAAGAGAAGCGCGTCTTGGAATCGATGGAGTCTTAGATTCGGGTAAAAATTTAGCATCTCGTGTTTGGCCCCTCGATACAAAAATTAAATAAATAAATAAACTAAAATTCCCCAGCAATCCAACTAGGGTTACTCGATTATTCGGGTTAGGCCATACGAGAAAATGACTTGGAAAACTCACTCGGTACGTAGATATGCGTGGCCCAGTTGCCCTCTTCGTGCGGGAAAGAGCGCAACCTGCCGTCGTGGTCGTCCGGCGAATCCAATTTCGCGTCGATCCTGGCGAGGAATCTGTTGAGGCGCTGAGCGGAAGGAAGGCTGGATTTCTCCGCCGACGATCTGTTTTCATTTCCGTCCGACAGCCGGGCACGCTTCGGACTGAGCACAGGAGACGCTTCCGCAGAACTGCCCGGGGACTCGGAGTCCGAATAATTGACTAAATTGAGCATAGCTTATTCGCCGATCAAGCGACTGTACGTCTGGTGACCCGAACGGGAAAAAGAAGACGCTCAGCATTGACCATTTAGAGTCACCCCCTTCGATAACTGAAGCATTCGAAAATTGCTTCTTTTTCTTCAGCTGACTTCACCGATTGGAAGTCAATTTCACATCAGCACATTGACTACTCGAAAAGCCCAAGGGACTGTTCCGAGAAAGTCTTGATTCCATCGCGAAGTTTATGAAAATGCAGTACCAATTGTTCGAAAATCAAGCGATGAACCCGATTTTATTCAAAAATCCAATAGTCCACAGATTTGAACGAATTTCTGGGATGCCTTAATCCAATGGCTCATTCCACAATTGTGATTTTGGCTACACGATTTCTTTTCTTGAAATTTTCATGCTAAACCTTTCACGTCACTTGCAAAGAATTCGTGATTTAGGTTAATGACAGAGTTTTGGGTAACTTTTTCAGGACTGTTCGACTGAGACCTTGCATAGAATTTTAAAAGATCACCAACGCTGAAATCACAAATAAATTGAATGAATTATTACTAATCCATTGGTGGTCATGGTTTTCGTCAACCATGCATCCGAAAATGCGACGGGGGGAGGGGAGGACTTGGACAGGAAATAATCTAGATTCTAGAATATAGAGTTCCAAACAGGGCTTCGCAGTGAAGTGGTCCTCTGAAATGCCATTTTACCAATCACATTTCTCAAAAGTAGAGAGAAGACAATTTTTTCTGCGAGCGGGAACCTGAAAAACCTGCGAATGAAAAAAATGGAAATTTCCGAACATTTCACACGGATCACGCTTTGGAGAAGAACTTAAGCATCCGGAAGAACAATTCACAATATAGTTCAGCTTGAACCCAGAGCAAAATGCGTTCCTCCGTTTATTATTCTCTTGACAGAAATTTATATAAAAAACTTTTCCACGTTAGCTTTCAAGACGAAAGTAGGCTGGAGTACGTCAATTGCTTTGGTTTCAAGATTGAACGATTTTCTATCGATCACAAGTCGAGGAAGTAGACAAGTGAAGAGGACATCATGGCCGGAGGCTAAGAAAACATTATGTAAAATTTCCATTCAAAAGCTGTACAATAATGACGAACAAAATCTTAGCAAGTATATTGTTCTTGAATCAAAAAGATGGATTTGTTGTTCCTCCTGCTATTCTCAGCGCCCCTTTTCGCATTAAATCTATCTGACAAACGTCAAATTTCAAGGGAAAAGCGCTTATCATGGAACGTTAAAATACGAGGACTGAAATAAATTCCCATCCATCAGTACATTCTCGACCTGTGATCCGAAACGAAAAAAAAAACAGAACATGGGAAGCGTTTTCCATCCGATATATATTACTTTAAAATTCAAACATTGCGGTTAAAACACGATGTTGTGCACACAACGACACTTCTCGTTTCTGAATAACTTCATGTTCACGCGGATTCATGAGCACGCGTCCTAAAAAAGCAACTACCGTACCTCAAAAATTCGATATGCAGATCCAACACAGTGCCTAACGTCAACCGAAAATTCAACAAATATTTCACATCCCGGGGTCAGAAAAATAGCCGCTCCAAAAATTTGGCACCAGTTCTTTCGATATTTTTGGAGATAACTGAATGCGCCAAGTCGTGATAAAAATCCATTCGGATTGCTGAAGGGTCAACCATTTGGGATAGTTTCTTTCAACGTTTTTCACGAAAACATAATGGACGGATTCGTAAATCGTTGCACACCATCGCCGGAGATGCATCGTTAATTAACACAAGAAAACGGGGGAATGCATTAGGGCAGGGTTTATCACTCAAGAAGGAAACAGCACCCTCACACACTGGGCAATCGGAAACGTCATTTCACTTATTCTTTTTTTCTGCCAGGAAAACACGACTTCACGAGCAGCTGGAAGATGCGCACACGTGCACACGTTTGGAGATTTTCCCGTTCATGTTTACCAGATACAAATTTGAGACACAGATCCCCCAACCAGCCTCGTGGTCCCCTTCTCCGCAACGTTTCTTCGATCTTTTTCCTCTCTCATTCGAAAATACTCTCCGAAAAAAAGAACTCGGTTATAAAAAAAATGAAAACATGAAACGCTGAAAATTTGATTCAAGCAGCTCGCAACCACTAAGGATATTTTCCAGGGACCACGCACACCTGGAATCAGCAACCGATCAACAATGCCCGAGTAACAGTCAACGCCCGGGTTCTCTTTTTTTCTCTCTCGAATTCGTGAGATACCGATAAAAATGATACAAATAATTTCTGCGTACAACATAAACAAACCCATGAATAAAATATAACGGGAACGGTCACAATTAACTGGAAAATAAACCCAAGAGGCCTGAATCCTGAGAACCCGAAAACGGGACAACGGCCGAGAAACACGGAAGAACCGAAGCAAAGGAGCTAATCAATACCCGCTAAGCGAACTATCTGCCTCTTCTTCAAACGCAGGAACATCAAGAACATTAAATTAGCCAGATACACTAATTAAACTCAGAACGCAAAAGTTCATTACAATACGAGAATCACTCTCAAAATAGAAAACAAAGCAGAAGATCCACTCTTGCCATGATAGATACTAAAGAGAATGCCAATAGCCTGATGCCAATTTCAGCACAGTGATGATTTTCACCGCCAACATTTTTAGCTAGTCAACGTAAGTTCGCGATTATAGGCCACGAATTTTCCCCAAAAGCGGCGCTCGAAAAATCAGCAGCTGCACTCAATTCATATACTGTAATTAGAAACATACCGAGTTTTAAAAAGTGGCATAAACTCGAGTTCATACAATGCAACATTTCAACATCGAAAAGTAAAATAGAATTCGAATATCTCAATTCAAAATTTTAAAATAATCTTTTTTCTTCCTCTCAGTTTACAAACTGACCCCTCAACCTCGAAGCAGTCCTGTCATTCTGTACTCCATGATAATGTATTTTCTACCGGGGATATTGATAAATTTTCATCCGGTTTAGAAACAATTTTCCTTCAAAAATTGCAAAACTTGTTTCTTTAGATCTTCAACAGTTATCCCCCTGGAATCGCAGCATGAACTTGGGATGCGGCCCATAATCGCGTAAATACGGAAGTCGGGAGAACGTTTAGCGGAAGCAGCCTTCGCAGCAAGCATTCCGCATCTCTCCTTTATTCTTCTACTGCATTCTCAACGGGCAAAAGAGCGTCGAAAGCCGGAAAAGGGGGTAGAAAAAGGGGGGAGGTGAGAGAGGCAAGGCTTTTACTGTCGTAGAACGACAAATCTGGGCGCCTCGAGAAAAAGCATCAGTAGCAGATGCCCCTAGAATGAAGAGCAAAAGAAAAAAATTTCCGAAGATAGAGAAAAAATAAACGAGAAAAAAAAAGACCCAAGATGAGATCCAGCGCCGGACCAACGAAAAGCCGGGCATCGCAACAACAGACGGCACGTCCCCGACGCACGAAATTTCATGTCTCGCCTCGGACATTCATCCGATGCTCCTCCGCCATCTCATTTCCGCAGGTGGCCCTTCTCTCCCCCCCCCCCCTTCCTTTGCGAGGTCACTCACAAAGCGTATTCGTGCTCAAACGGGCCGGGGTCGCCAGTCGGCTGCACCGACACCACCTCGTACTCACGCAACTTCTCATCACGACGCGGTCGTCGGACACAGCAGATATTCGTGAACAGCAGAATTACGACGATGACGACGATTACGAACGCCACGACAGCAGTCAGTATTGGCCACGCTACCACGAGCATCCTGACGGCTCGGGATTCCGGCCCCACTCGCAAGGTCGCAGAACCCGCAAAATAAGGTCAACTGCCAAGTGCGAACGAATACGGCTTTTCTTCCTTCAAGCGTTCAACGAACGAACGTACGTCTCGTTACAGATCTGGAACTAAACAAACATTGAAATAAATTAGTAAATTAATCATTCAGGGAATTTACCGCAATTCAACGCTGCGACGAATAGATCATCCGGACCTCGAACAATAGAACTGTACATTCATTCCTTGGTATCCGAATTTCAAGATCCGAGGGGGGATGTCTACATAATTTCAATGCGTGCCTATTAATTTACCTCAGATCAATTTAAACGAAAAAATAAAATAAAATATTAACACGAAAAGCATCAGATGGTCAACAATATACTGCAGCATAAAAAGATGGTACAGTAATAGTGCATCGGTTGATGTTCCAGAACTAATGCGCTGCAGTAGAAAGTCCGTCATCCATGAAAGTCTTTCACAGAGTAATACTGTATTGTATAAACGATGCATGGAATGGTTGACATACTCCAGATTCCCAATAAGTATCTTCGTTGAGTAATGTCAAGCTTTATAAAATGACTAATCCATTACAGATCACTCGGAAATTTTCTTCATTTAGCATGAGATACCGTAAATTTAATAAACTATAAATGCTCAACAAGAAATATCACGAGATACAATATTTTTTTGAAAACTCAGCTTAACGTGATCAAGAAAATAAGAGGCAACCATCTCTCGAAAAATTTCGCAGAGCAACTTGAAATTTTCGACGATATTGGCTGGCGTGTCATAGATCTCGAGAAAAACGTCAAAAGCGAACTAAGCATCGCGAAATTTTTTGCATATACTGTAGTTCAATACTGCATCTTGGAAATGGGGTTCTCAAGATTTATCGGGAACGTGGATAAAACACGTCAGGTCACAATCAGATTTGTAAAATTTCGAAGTTTTTTCTCCATTCAGACAATTCAAGAGATTTCATCATCCGGGCGAACGCACTTGCTAATTCGTCCGGAATATCACAGTTAAACCACAGATCAATTCCTTCCGAACATATTTCTGAGTTTGAAAAGAATAGCCGATTTTATAGTCCATTCGTGACATATAGATCCCGAGATGACGATACTATTTATGATGTCAAGAGATTTGCTTCATAGATCGATCCTATACAAGGTATGCAAAATTGAGAACATTCCTGAATGACGACGATCCAAAAATAGAAAAAGCGTTTAAAATACCTCGTTGCTTTCTGCTCTCCAAAAAAAGGCCCTCATATTTTTTTAAACCTCAAGAGGCGAACGATTTTCGAAAATTCCAGAAGAGGATAACATCCAACTTCAATGATATAATGTATCGGATTCAAAACTATCCCTTGATTATCGCGCATCCTTCGCATCAACATTTGATCAACGAATTCCCAAGAAACGAACATCCTCCCACGTTCCTGTCGCGGGATCAGTGTCAGCCCAGACCTGCTGAATAACCAAGTAGGTCTCGAGTGACGCACGTTCCGAGAACCAAAATGCACAAATCAACGAAGAGATAATCCCTTGAAGCAATGATGGATACAGTTCTGAATCTTATTCCACATGAAACGGCCAACGACAGACTGGCATTTTCGCGATGGAATATCTTCGTGATCTTCATTTTGAGCAGGAATGAGATTCCACTCGCAAGTGAAATGGAAACACGCTGCACCCTTTCTTCAATTTTTCAACCGCTAAAACCTCCAACAGGATGATTTTAATCAAGAAAACTCTTCGAAAATTGGTTTGAAAATCAGCAGGATCAGGCACTCACTCGAAGTACAATCGATCGCAGTTTGACTGCATAAAATGAAGACATTTTCGTAATAGTTCAGATATCAAACTGTAATAAAAGTACATTTGTAAAACGTCTAATGTCCCTTTAAATTTGTTTCATGCCCACGTCAACTCTTTCAAAATTTAAAGCACCATCAACATACTGTACACTGTGTACAGTATTTGATAAAATATTAGAAGCAAACGGATGACAGAAAAGGGATAATGAAATAATACCGAGTCTTTAGAAAAAACTTTTCCAACATAAACAAGCTATACTGTCCTCCATATTCGAATTCGGAAAGAAAAACGCTTGAATATGAAGCGTCGAACAACACCGACATCCCGCCCTAGAGCCGAAATAATAAGTCGGAAATATGAATGGGAATGACTGAAACTGTTATCAAAAGTAAGATTCGTAGCAAAATATTTCGCTTAGAAATATTAAATACTTTCTGCTGATATCAACGCCCACATTTCAAAGTCGGAAGATAAATCTGAAGGTCACAAATGGAACTAACGAAGTGAAAAAAAAAATCGAAGGAATTTGAAGGAATCGAGCCATCCTCGTAATTCCTTGAAACGCCATCATTCATCGACATCTCAAAAGCCGATTTATCCATGCCGGTATCAATCCTCAAAATCCAAAACATCAATCGTTTTGAACGACACTGATCCTTCATCGGAAGTATGATTCTTCCGAAGACATGGCTCTTCGACATTGGCTTTTCTTTCAAATCGATGTCTAAATCATTACTTCAATTTCGCACGCAAAATCCATTTACGGCATATTATGGACAGAATATAAATGAAAATACAATAGAAACAGAAACTCCAGCGTGCCATTATTCAAAAGATCCTTAAAACGCGAGCTTCCCTCTAGATCCTCTCAACGACCCTAATTTTCGCGTCGATATCAATCGACAAACAGTCAGAATACGGAATACCATTGATTGTGACGCTTGTATCTCATCAAAACTCTCATTCCTACAGGAAAATCATTCTTTGAAATTGCGCTTGGCTGAAATCCACGCTAGAATCTCAGGGCATGCGGCGGAAAACAGAAGCCCAAGGTCATTAGCGACACAAACGAAGTGAAATTACTGGAGTGAAAATTCAACATAAACGCGAGATCGTTGAAGTTCCCTCCGCGCCCTTTACGCCCAAGCCACACGACGACGTCAACTGCAAGGTGTCACAGACATCATCCAGTTACGAGGCATACTGAATCTACCAAGCGGAGGGTATTGCTTCGTAAAATAAAAATAAAGACACCCAACCCACACAGCCTGGGTGGGTTCGCAGCGCAAGCACAGCGCCAAGAGCGAGGAACACAATGAACAGCCCAGGCAGCCCAGCCACTGTCTTCAGTCTCCAACAAAATCTGGTAAGCAAACATGGCGATGTCGAGGAACGAGTCTCTCCTCTTACCTCCCGGTTCCTCCCGCAGGAGGCCTTCGGATCACGAAGGCACGAAATGCATTAGCTTTCCAGAGCAAACAAGCCTCAAGTCAGCTTCGAACGCGCACATCGACGAGGTCGGTACCTTGGTCGAACCTGAATTGACTTCAAGAACGGGCTGAAGCATTCCTCACGACGAACGCACCAAAATAATCCCGCATGATTGCCACGGTGGCTCGGTGCGATGCAGGTTTCAAGCACGAAACGCATATCGCTCTCGAGATTATTACATAATATCAGACGCCTTGCGAATTCAGCATAAATAATAAAACCAAAGAAACTTGCATTGCCGATGCAGACGGACTCGCCCTGCGATTTTATATAACGCAGAGGTTTTCAATCTGCGTTTCCCGCGGGGTTCTCAGCCACTCAAAGCGGCAATGAATAGTTCAGGAAGAACGACTCAACACAGTTCAATAGCGAGTTATAATAGCGCAGGCTTCAAAAAATACAAGGATTTTGAAGTCCTCAATTCTAGGTAACATACCTAAATAAATAAACTTTCAATTTTCGAGCGAAGTTATAATTTTAACGCCTTACAGCTGGCCTCAGGGGGTTCCATCGAAGGAATTTCTTTTTAAAAGGGTTCATCCATGGCAGTTCTCCGCCCCACAAATAGGCCTTCGACGCAAAAGGGATGATAAACTGTGGTCTACAGCAATATTCCTATTTTTTTAATAATCTCGGCAAACGTTTTGTTAATCTACAGAAAGCTTTTTCGGATTTACTGTACAGTACATTCTTAGTACAGTATACAGTTAATAATTTTACTCCTTCGTCCTAAAGATACGAGTCCAAATATACATAAGGGTGGAAGAAAGTTCGCAATCGCTCGGTAAGTACCGCACAAAATGGTAGCATATTTTTCATCCGTATAAAAACTACCAGAAAATGCATTAATTTATCGCATAGAAAACAGAATTTCGTCAATTCAAAATAAACTTTTATCCATTCTTACCGAAAAATTCAAGATACACGGGCACAGCAGTTGCGCGTGAGTTTCAATCTGATCGTGATTAAACGGAAAAACCGATCACAAACTTTCGCACAACCCCACGTATGCCACGCGGCACTTTCCATCATTTGAATCATTTCATGAACTTCAATTCCAAACTCCATCGCAGAATCTACATTATAAAATATTAAATGATGACGAGAGGCGCACAGGCGATCAATAAATTCCATTTTTGGCTCAAGGACGTTACGCTAGCATCGCCTTCTGAAATTGCATCCGATCGACGAAATCTACCAAGAGTAAAAAGGAACAGTAAATAGGAACGCGAAGACCCGGAAAGGTGATCAGAATTTTGTTAGCGTGGAGTGACGGGTTCAGGAAGTGAGTTTCAGAAGTTATTTCAACCTCGGATAAAAATCAACTATCTTGGCCATTTAAAATTAATATTTTCCAGGAATACGCGCTCAATACAGAACAAATTCAACCATTTGGAAAAATTTTCAATTTTTCTGCCCCATCGAAGACTATTCGGATTTCATCAGTTGAGTAATTTAGATGGCTGTGCATGCACAGTACTTTACACTGTTGAAGTAATCATAGAATAATTATATGGTCATTGGTACTGATGACTACATCGCTGTCATAGGAAAAAAGCGTTGCCAAGTTCGGATACCGAGAAACATCTTAAAACTGTACATGAACTGCTTTGTACTGTGATATGAACATCGTTCTAGGTCTCAAGCATTCACTGCCCCATCAGTAATAACCATTCCATAACATTGCCTGCATATTTGCATCTACAGAACACTTCCTCACCCACTCCTGAATTGAACAAAATAATCTGTTGACGAAATCAAGACGAACTCGCATCAACAAATAAAACCGAATTACAGCACACCAATCACACTTA